TATTATTACTTTCTATTTTTATTATTATTCATGTACCTAATTGAACACTAATTTAATATTACATTTAATATAATTTTTATAGGTTTCAGCTTAATAAAAACGAAAATTATTTTAAGTTAAACGTAAGTGCCCTGGAGGGTTACGTTACATGGCTGTATTTTATATTATTTTATGAAATTTTACATTACCCATGTGATGCAATTAACAAATGAATATGTATATGAATTTCCAGCATGTTGTTTACAGGAAATGAAATGTAATTGGACAACTCTTCAAACCGTTAAAAGGTCTCTTCAAATATTAACGTCATATCTGACCTGTTAAGATAATAATTGATTAGTTAAGTACAAATATGATGTTCAGTTATCAAATTGTAAACATTTTCAAGAAAAACATGTGATATTTCCATAAAATAACTGAATTTAAACCTCAAACCTGAATTATTCAGTGAATGGATGACAGAGAGAAAATTATAATGTTAAATAATACATCAGAATGAAAATGCATTCGTCAATTTTTGTTGAATTGAATAGGTTTGAAGCCTTTAGATGTATTAAGTGTTGACTATATACTGCACCATACAATTTTTTTTTATTACATGTACTTTTAAACTTTATCTAAACCTGTTACACTGGCTCCTACACTAGGCAAAGCCTGTCTCGTAGGTAACCAATTCTAGAAAGGATGTAAAGTCTGTTCCAATCCATTCCGAACAAACAGCAAACAAGAGGGTTTGGTTAAAATCACTCAATAAATCGAACAAGAAACACATTCACGTATATTTCGAAGACCTCAACTTGATATCTCACATTCATCCGCAAAACAAGGAAGAAAACTTGACACAATAAATTTATCTGATACTTAGTCCTTTAATTCAGTCAAGTATTACTTATTTGATAGTAATTGTATTCAACGGACAACGGGAGTAGACCCCTGTATCGTTTATTTGAAATAATAAAGATATGGGATTTGAATCTGAAAAAAATTGCACTTTTACAGACGGAATTTTGTCTTATTTAGGACCAGCTTAATTACATACGTAGCATGTAGATTTTGAAATATTTTTTTTACTTTCCTGCGAATCTTGTTTTAATTCTGTCACTTTTTTATGATGAAATAAGTGTGCATTTGACCTCTATCTCCACTGATAGAAAGTGTCTATGGAGCATGCATCTCTAAACAACTTTATGTTTAAGGGTGTGATTTAGCAATATATGTGCAGTTCATATTAATAATAATAATTCATTTATTTGTGGAAACACAGGTTATATAGAAGCTGAGATGTACAAAATACGTATAGTTTCACTGTGTCCGGTCAAACAGTAGGCGTACAAATATTGAATACATTCACTCACATGCATTTCGACCGACTAAACCAGGTGTAACATGTTTCGTTTTTCAATAATATTACATGAGCGTGCACACATGGATTTAATAAGTCGGTCAGAATTTAAACGCGATGATAATTACATGGGTCGATTTTAATGGTAATTAGATGTCAAAATAATATCGTAACATGAACAACGTCAATAACGTCCGATGTCAAAAATTAGACAATGAATTTAGGGATTTATCATTTAAAAATTCAGACACTGTATAGTACATTTTATTAGTCAGTTGTTTAACTGTTTTTTAAATAGCATAAGGTTTTTCTCAGACCTTAGTGTTTCTGGTAAATTGTTGTAAATTTTTGGGACCATTACAAAAATACTTTTCTGCATGAAGGTAGTTTTACAGGCTTTCAAACGAAGTTGGTCATATCGTCTTGGCTTCAGAGTTCGCGTGAACAAGGGTGAGTGCATTCGGACGGAGTTCAGTGTCTATATTTTGTGACTATAGCATTGAAATTGTAAGTATGGGTCAGGAAACATCGCGTTTCACACTTTAATAGTGGTGGTACACATAGAGTAACAACGGAATGGTGGCCAAGCAAAGGTTTTTTTAAATATATTTTTGTAGTCATGGGTTACAAATGGGACCCTCACTGCGTGAGGTTTATGCCCAACAATGGGTGAAGTCAGGCTGTGGATGATAATGAAATGTAAAGCCTATTAAACTATTGACAGTATGTAAAATGATTATGCCCAGAAACATTTTTAAGAAAGATAATTTAATATGGTAGCCACTACCTTACTTTACATCACCTATGTGACATTATTTTTAACCGACTATAAAACAGGAGGAGGTTTTCAATTCGTCTGTACAGTTTTTTCTTCTTTTGTATATATGTTATGCGATAACTTGTAAACCGATTTTTTATGATTCTTTGATGACCTATTTCAAGCCCCTGAGGAAGATTTCTCAGTTCCTGAGACCCTTGAAATGTAACAATCCCCTTACAGGATGCAGGAGTTTACAAGCTTGACTGTGAGTGCAGTCTCTCTTATATTGGACAAACAAAGCGAAGTATTTGTACCTGCATCAAAAAACATATAGCTGATGTCAAGTCTGCAGTCTGCAAGCATGTCATGGATAAACCTCCACATTCAATGAAGTTTGACAAACCCCAGGTCCTTGCAAAACCCAGGATGCTGTGAGAGGCCATTGAAATTAAAAAACATGCTAATTTCAACAAGGAAGATGGTTTCTCTGTACCACCAGTTTGGTATCCAGTATTTCCTCTGATGAAAGTCCCAAAGAGACATAAGACTGCAGTACTAATTAATATGTTTTAATTTATTCTAATTTCTATTATTAATTAATAATAAATTTAACTTAATAAAAATTCATTGAATAAAATAATTTGTAAAACATAATGTAGCATAAATTGGAATGTTTCCTTGTAAAATTAAAATAAGGTATTTAATTAATAACTTTTGTAACTATAGTGAAAAAATAGGGAGATTTGCATTAATAGACATAACTAGTTGATGACTGTACCACCTCAGTCAACCGTGACCATGGGACCTGTAAAGGGCCGGAAACGTTGGTTTGTTTGAAAAAACAAATATATGCGATTTAAATCCGGAAAAAAGTTTCATTTCTTACTTGATGATTCTTTTTTGTTGGAAAGAGGGTACCTCAGTAGTGGTCCAATTTTAATTTCAAGAATATATTCCACCACTAAGGGTGGCAAACTGGGGTATGAATGCCTTTTGATGTCGATATTTTTAGTACTCTGTACTAAGATTAACATATTTGCATACATAATGTGTCAAAGAGATCAGAAATTCCTATTTAATTCTTATTCAAATAGAAATGAGTTTTATTCATTGTTACTATAAATGCGAATTGAAATGTTTTCATTACCTAAACTATGAGTTGTGTATTGTTTTTAAATCCCTTACCTATCGTGCCGTAGCTCGCATAAATTTTAAGAAGGTAGATATAATATAGAAGATACTTGGAAGACAGCGCAATAAGTAGGCATTAAAGAATACATTTATGTGTAGTTTTAAAAGATATTTTCGATGACAATAAAAGCATCTCGTAGGCACTATTGAATTGAAATGTTCTAGAAGAAGTCAACGCCGGTGATATCTTAAAGATTTCAGTAACAATTATTTAATGACAGGAAGGTAGAAATGCGGTATACCATTCCGGCGATGCAAATGAATATTTCTCCCTTGTAGAACTAAATAATTGCAGTTGTGTGACGTCATATAGTTTAAATTTAACGTATCTTGCAAGTAACAGACAAAAGTCTAAAATATTCACGAGAAACCTACCCAAAATCGTAAGCAACGTTTGTTGAAAATGAACAAGATTTTACTGATACAAAGGCGTTTCTCTGCGTTAACTCTTTTCTTACTAAACAGACTGTGATCAAACTCACCATACTGAAGATTTTCTAAGCCGGCTTTTCTGGTTTTGATTAAATATCAACAAAAATATCACAACAATCTCCCACCCACCCACAACGGCTTGCAAAACCAGAAATACTAGTGACGGGACAGAGTTGAAAGTGCATTGAAAAATAAGTCTTCCATGTATATTATCAGTCTAATCTTTATTTTGATTGTTTTTTCTGAATTTGGAAAATATTTTATCTATTATTCTTATTTATTCAATTAAGAAAAGGACATGTATTTTGAAAATGATTTCGCCGAAAACCATTTGAAATATGTATTTGATTTGACGATGCGTTTGTGATGCCGCCGCCGCATTGGATTGTTGAGCTATTTTGAGTACTGTAAATGTTGTCAAGATTATTAAAATGATCCAATAATTACAGTTTAATTTTCTTTTGTTGCAATAACAAAGAAAAACGAACTATATAACGCAATTTAACACTATATTGGCTTAGTACAGAATGAATATTCTCGTGACGTCATGGTTTAAATAGACATTTGTGTATTTACGGGCCTCGTGTTTTGCTTTAATTTAATTTCATAATTTGATAGGAATCATTACTTTCGATTGTTTAGTCTCATTTTTTTCTTGAGTAATAATAGTTACAGAACACATCATTTGTACATCACTATCTAGTGCGTTTAATTGTTGCAAGTTAGGAATATCTAAATTTAAAAAAAAAATGTAAGTTTGTTGAAAAAGATAAAGATTATGCAAAGCATTAATATAAAATTTTGTTTTCTTGGAGTCGATTCAACATCAAATAAAGATTCGAATTGCGATAACTGCAACAAACAAAATATTTTCTGATTTGTGATATTTACATTGCAACTTTAAAATGGCAACCATTGGCAAATATTGAATTTTTTTTCACTTTTGCAATGATTGATCCTCTTTGGCAATGATGTCCTAATTTTGACTATTCTTGTCAAAAGTATTTCTAAAATTTACTTTTGTAAATGCAGTAAAAATACATTCACTTTGCATCTGATCGCCATATTTTTTTATTCAAAGGTACTAAAACATATTTGTTGTTATTTGCACTATCTTTACCCCTCCAAAGTCATTTGATAACGTTACAATGTTGTGATGTAAGACAGGCTATTTTGCCCGGTTTTTGCCATGTTCCAGTAGATTTTTCTATATTTTTAATGCACATAAAATGTTCTGTACTTAATTTCCAAGCTCACCTTGTTGAGATGCATATATTTTTGTTGTAGATGTTGAAATTCAGCAGTACTATAATTTGGAGGTTAGGAACTAGGTCCACCATAAGAAAATACTCTAGCACAGGTGCTGCAGTGTTTAAAACTGACAAAATAGACACCAAAGGACTCACTAGCAACAACACTAAGTCCACGGTAGACGATGATAAGGACAGTTCAGGTAAAAATAATAGTGAGCCGAGCAACTTGCTTCTTGCTTCATCTGCATTCCAAATATTGACTAGATGAACCTTTGAGTGATTTGAGTTGGGAATTTATACCGCCTTTTATCCTCACACAGGTTATTACGATAAAATTTAGTTGTGTTATTTATTCGTAGGGTACTTGCATCAAGTATATAATATAACCAGAAGTGGAGACAAAATAAGGGCCATCCATCCCTGGCAATTCATTAGGGAAATGGGCGTTATATCACTTTTAAATATCAACTCTTGTTTGTGCTAAAATCATAAATTGGAAAGCTGAAATAGTACAGTGCCAACAACTGACCAGTATGTATGTCTCCATACATTCCAAAAACACTCTGTATTTATTGTAATTAAGATTCCATGGTGTGAGAAAAACAGCAAAACATCTAATAACAAAACAAACAAAATCATATTTCATCAGTAATTAAATATTAAATATGTAATTTTTCAATTTTCGTCCATTATAGCAAAGCTCAAGTTGAACTGGCGATTTTAAAGTGAAACAATTGACGACTCCCGTCAATTGTGTCGAATTCGTGTTGGCCAATCGGAGCGTAGTTGTCACCGTAATGGTTTGGCAGAATAGTTTTTAAACAAATGAAATGACATTTCGTCTATATTTCTGGTTATATATATACTCCAATATATACTCAATGGATTCTTGTTTATTATTATTTGAAGATCAAAAAACTGCTTGCCTCACTCTTTTATGTGTATATTTTATTCGATTTGCACTGCTATTACAATAGTGTTATAACTCAAACTAAGTGAAATTCAAGATTATACCATTGCTAAATGAAAAATTTGATTCTCTACAGGTCAATAAAACCGTTGTTAGAATATTGTAAGAAACAATTAAAATATAATATCTACTTAACTCAAAATGAGTCACACTTTTTGTAAGCTAGTTCTGGACAAAACAGCCCTTATTCAAAAATATTACGTTGTTTCCTATTTTATTTGTAAATATATTTGGCAAGTAGGAAATTATTTAGATGTCTGTAATAAACTTTAACTTATACCCTTACTACTATACCTTTAACTTATACTTTCACAAAATGCGAGTAATTCGTTTTTCAACATTTTTTCTTCTTTTTTTCTTTATACAACAAATTAAGGAACCGACTAGAATCACTCAAACCTCTGCCACTTGCATAGACCTAATATTTACCAACATACACAATACTAACATAACTTTACAAATGACAGTCAAAGATTAGGGATTCTCAGACCACAAGGCAATCTTAATAAATATTCCGAAACAATCAAGTAATGATAAGAAAGTTTGGTACAAAGGATCATTTAATGGAATAACCATTGCTAGCTTTAAATCTGAACTGCAAAAAGTAAAATGGGATAATTTAATAAAACAAAGTGAAAATGTAAATACAAACTTCAATGCATTTCATAATAAAATTCAAGAAATACTCAACACCACAATTCCTAAAAAACGTATTTAATTAATTAACAAAAAACGGAAAACCTGGTTAACAAAAGGTCTAAAAATATCATGCAAAATGAGCGTTTACTTAAAATTTTAGCTTTCAAATAGCCCTATTCTAAAACAACATTACAAAACCTACGAAAAACTTATAACAAGCGGTTTATGTCTCAAAGAACGAACAGTATAAAGGTATTATAAAAATTTCAAGCAACAAAAAAAAGAAAATATTTCATTAAACATAAATAATTTGGTTACTGACGACCCACTTCAAATTGCTAACCATTTTAACTGCTGCTTCACATCAGTGGGGGCCCCTGCACCACACGATCCCTTTGCTGCTGGGGGACCAGTTGACAAATGTTCTGGGAATTCAATATTTATACGTCTCATGATCAGAAAATTGAAAAATAAAAGAAGTTTCGGCTACGACGAATTACCGCCAATGCTAATAAAGGCGTGTGCAGTTGAACTTGCAGAACCTCTCTCAACTATGGCAAAACAGTCACTTAGGTACGGTAGGAGTTTTTCCAGAACTACTAAAAATAACAGTTGTAAAACCCCTGTACAAAAAAAAGCGATAGGACTTGTTGTGATAATTATCGTCCAATAGCACTCCTACCCACGTTTTCCAAAATTGTTGAGACCATTATGTACAATAGAGTTTATTCGTTTTGTGAGAAATTTGCAATATTTAACAATAGGCAGTACGGTTTTCGAAAGGGACGTTCTACGGGTTGTGCTATCTATAATTACGTCAACGAAATAATGAAAATAATTAATGACAAACAACATGCAATTGGGATCCTATTGGATATGAGCAAGGCTTATGACAGGGTTCTATATCCAATTTTGCTTTGCTAAACAAGCTTTATGACATAGGCGTGAGGGTTGCAGCTTATAATTGGTTAGTGTCATATTTAAGGCAACGCATGCATTTCGTCGACGTTGAATTCTATGACCATAGGACGGGATTTATTACGGGTGTCAGGTCTGACAAAATAATATTAAGTCGGTCTATCCCCCAGGGTAGCGCCCTTGGATATTTGCTGTTTTTAATTCATATCAACGACTTGCCCAATCAATTTGATATTTCTTGCATTCTCTTTGCCGACGACATTTCGATGATTCTACCTTGCCCCAATACTACACAACTTCACGAACTTTTGAATTTAAATTTGAAATTAATAACAAGCTGGCTTAATGACCATAACCTAGAAGTTAATTTTAATAAAACTAAATTAATGCAGTTCAGACCTTATCAAAAACGCCTTATAAACTTCATAATTACATATTACACTATAAATTTGACAACGTTCCGCTTGATTCTGTAAACTCCCTTTGCCTCCTAGGAATAAATATCGACATCAATTTAAATTGGAAGGATCATGTAAATAAAGTTGTTGGTAAATTGACAAGCTTCACATATGCTCTGAACGAACTCAAATATCGACTGACCTTAAGACAGCAACTAGCGCTTACTACGCGTATGCTCGTGCCTGGCTTAGTTATGATGTTGCGTTGTGGGGCAACAGCACTGACGCGAAAAAACTTTTTGCGTTACATAAGAAATGTATTCGCATACTCGCCAATATAGACTCGTTTACCAGCTGCCAATCGTATTTCATCAAATATAATATCGTGACTTTAACGTGCATATATATTTTACAAATGTGTCTTATTGTCAAGAATAATTTGGATGCATATTCTCTGTATTGTCGTTCACAAAAATTAAGACCCAAATGCAGGCTAGCAACAACAGTTTCAAAACTGCAGATGGTCAACTTGGGTTCGTATTCTATGTCAATTAAAATTTTGTGACTTTTTAAAATTTATAAATAGCCTGAAAATGTTTAAAAACCAACTTAGTATAAACATCTTTCAAAAAATGCTACTACTAATTTTTTTTAGTGACGAAGAAAATTGTTCATAATGTTATTAAAAAAATGTAATGTTAATATGATATCGGTGTTATAAAAATATGATATTATGATTATGTAATTTAATAAAATAAATGTAGAATAATAATATCACGGAGTAAATAAACGCAATTATTACGAAGATTTAATTGACAAATATAATTATTATTATACAATACTAAGATAATTTGACGATTAAAATTGAGTAATTAATGTTTAATTGATTTATTATTAATAAATAAATTGATCTATTTTTAAAAAACTTTAAATTTAAATTTTTACAATCATTTTAAAATGAAATCAATTGACTTTCTGAAGATATTTGCTTAGATTTATTTATTTTCATTGTAATAATATTATGATTAATAATTATGTTAAAAATTGTCATTTTTGCGCCCTTACAGGACCTAATGTAACAACATGTTTTGCAATAAACGATATTATTATTATTATTCATCGATTCAAAAAAAATACACTTATACTTTGAGTTAATACACTATTGTATTAACAGTGCCAATTTACAGTTGCTTAAGTAGTGATTAATGATTTTATACTGTTTTTGTTTGTCAGTGTATGGAAGCTTAAGATCCGTCTCAGTGCCTACGCTTGGGAAAAGAAATAATGTGCTGTTTAACAAGCAACTGAGAAATTATGTTTATAGTGAGGATTACCGTTAGTGCCTTTTTTGTTTTAGACATGCCTCCTCTTGGAGCATTCAGCTGTAATGAACATTCATCAATCCAGTTAGAACTTTTTGATCCAAACATCTAAAGCAATAAACTATTTGATGCGTACAATATAGAGAACATTAGATTGAAACTTATGACTACATAATTTTTTAGTAGCAGTAGATCTCCTTGTGATCCTAATTGAGTTGACTTTTTGGAGCCATGCGGCTCAAAAGAAATATTTATTCAGCCTATTACAATTAATATAGAGACTGAAGTTGAAACAGACCCAACTAAGCATATGTCACAGCTTGAGTGCTGTAATGCTTGTTTACAGTTGGTTAGAGGATAAAATGGTACGAAAGTACTGATGTTAGTTAATACTAAAATTATAAAATGTAAGTATAGTATATCACTATTCAACTGTCCAATGTTGCAATCACAGAACACTATACTCACAATGCACTGCAAGTTTGTTTTGTTTGACTTAAGTCATAATGAACACTTATTGTTGAATGTTCATTATTAGAGAATGTTCCTGGTGAGAAAAGACCTTAACAGCTGCTTTTTATTATATTAGAGATATTTCTGCGTTATTATTATTTCAGTCTTTTGAAATTCGAAAAAATCTTAATTGGATTGAAAATTGTAAAAGCTTTTCACGCATGCTTCACACATTTTCTATCATATGATCACTTATACTTTACACTACTGTATACTATAAATATGTACAAATTAACATCAATGTTCGTCATTGACAATGTCCATATTATAAATGTGATAATTATTACCACATACAGTCTTACTTTTCTCCCTATATTTAAGCAAGAACTGTGGACTTGTGGTAATAATTTAGGAAATAAAAAATGACCATACTTTCAGGTCTTGTAGCAGCAGCCTTTGCTAGTCTTAACTCCCCAGAATCAGACGACCTGAGAAAGCCTAGCCCCAAGTCTGTCAAGCAGAATCGGCAACAACTGCTAGACACACAAATCTTGAAAGCCACTGATGTCAACAGCTTACTCTTGGTCGCTGAACAGCCTATTGTATCCAGAAGACATGCTTTAAAGGTATCTTCTATAACTATTTAATAGGTCAAATATAAAACAGCTTGCTGTATAATATTACTCTACAAGGTCTGTGGATATTGTGGAGTATAATGTAATACAAGTAAAAACCAGTGTTGCCTTGAGGGTCCAGTGGTTGCAGTGTTCACAATGTGAATTTTAATTCATTTGTGGTGACAGTACCAACTGAACATCTGTCAACCTTCATTAATTAGATGTGTTGGCTGAAGGGTGTCATCTACCGGACACCCGCGTTGCGTCACACGTCACAGTCTGTACGTGTAAATTATTACTGTTTTGTTTATTATTATGTATGTTATTTAGTTTTAATAACTACTGCGTAGTTTTATGAAGCTATTAATATTCCTATTTTCAGATGGTGTCGATCCTCTCAGAATGGTCAAGCAGCAACAAAGTGAAGCTCTCAGACTTTGAAAAAGACCCTCGATTTCTAAAACTATGCCGTATCTTAGCGAGGACACCCTCATCGCAGACAATGAGTTCTCTAACAATGGCCGAAGACTTGAGCACTGTGCTAGGCATCACTGGTGATGATGAGGCCGCTAGATTAATTATGAACTTGTCTTTACCACAGATGATTAAGGTAAGACTTTTTGTCTTAATTCTTAACTACGATTTCTCACGTTCTATAGCTAACAAAGTGATGAAAACACCCAAATACTGTAGTCACATTTGTTCAATGCACTGTTTAACCTATGAATGCTGGGTAGCAGTGTTTGTCCATATCCATTGTTTTGCAGATCTACTGCAAAACAATGGATATGGACATACCATTTAGAAAATTTTTCTGTAATTAGTTATACAAGCTTTTACAATAATTATATACTGCCCTCGTGAGGAAAAAAGGCACAACGGGCAGTATAATAATCAAGCCTTTTTAATAGTACGATTTTTATATTACGCTCCATGTGGCGTTACTGTTTTGTTATTTTACATTTAAAGAAATGTATATTTTATTTAGTAGATTATTATGTTCTATATTATATTGCATTTTATAAAGTGCGCCCGGAGCAGCCCAAAACCATCAGGCATAGCTTGCTGCATCTTGTTTCATTTGTTAAAAGAAATGCTACGTTAAAGTGAGGTGGCCCTTAAAGACAATTAAGACATCACACACACGTGAGACATCACTATACGTGGCTCTCTCTCTTTTGAGGATATTGTTTAGTTAATAATCCATCATGTCTGGTGTTTTCTTTGATTGGGAGTACGTATTGGCAGATGTGGAGTTATAATTTTTTTTTTATCCAGGTGATGAAAGCACTTAACCAAAAAGGCCGCCGTAGCACACCACTCCTGCGTGCTCTCTCCCACAACATCACGAAGCAGTCGGACGTTATAGACTTAAAGAAGTCAGCGGATCTGCTGTATTGCATGGCGGCACTTAACTTCCCTGATCCCGTTCTATTAGATAGAATATGCAAGTATGTTAATGTTGAAATATTATTATAATAAAATGACTATTGCAAAGGTCAGTGATTGCAAAATAATGAATGGTTATTTATACAGGCTGGCCCATTTTCAATGGTACAAAAATTTTTTTTTGATAGATGACATTGTAACGACTGAAATATAACAACAATGAAAGTTCTCAGTATCAGTAGGGTTAACATTTTTTGCTGAACATTTGCTTTTCGTGTACATTATGGCTATTAGAGAGTGGTTTGATAACAATTAAGGTAAATCTGAGTTGAAGTCATGTTTTTTTTGAGAAATTAATTTCAAATTGTTCGAATAACGATTATGATACAAATTTGTCAATTTTGGTTTTTATTTTTAGTGACTCAGTGCATGTCATGTCAATTTATGAAGATGTTACAAAGGCCATCAGCAAATTCTGGTTGTACATTTTTCAGTCATGAATTTTTCGAAAATTTAACATTTTGTTCGTGAATAAAAAATATCTTAATGTCTAAAATAACGGTGCAATCTAAGAGCAAACACAAAAATGGCTCATTGCTTGCTAGCTACATGATTATACTACTTCCATACATGTTTTAATGGCTAAGTAGAAAATTTTCAAGAAAATATGTAAAATATCATAACTTCTAAACTATTCATTTTCGAGGAACTAATGTTTATTTTAGGTGAGTCGTTATAATTCCTCTACCTAAAAAAAATGTTCGGAGCAGTGAAAATAGGCCACCCTGTATAAAATGACAATGTCACAAACATCAATTTGTCTCTTTATTGTTTGTGCTGAATATTGATGCAGATTGTGAAATTGCTATGCTCTTGGAGGGGGCTGACCACTTCTGTCTATAATGTGGAGGCTGGAGGAGGTCCCGGGTTAGATTCCCGGTGGGACCGACTTGGCAAATTAACTTTTCTAAATTGGTTCTGGTCTGGGTGTTCTGGTAAGTGCCCCAGAGTGCATTCCGTTGTTCTGGTACTTATAGTATAGGGAATCCCCTAGTTTAAGACCAGGCAATTGGTGTGGTTGTCTGGCACATTATTATTAAATATTAATTTATTCTTTTTAGTGACGTCATAGAATGCCTGCCTTCAAATCAAGATAAACCAGCTGTTGTGAACTCCATTCTGGTCTCCCTGGGCCTGTTAAAGTATCGGCACGAGGTTTGTCTGACGGGTCTGGTGGACTGGTTGCAAAAGCATAAGGATATTTGGCGAGTAAGCGATGTGGCGTCGGCTGTTGTCACTTTGGCTACTTTGGATTTTGTGCCGCCACACAGCGAGGTTCTTTTCGAGGTAAGAATGAAATGTAGGCTGTATAATTTCCCGAATAAATCCCATAACGAAAAGAAACCATTTCCACTTGGCTACTTACTTGTAGAAGTATGAAACTGAGAAAACGTTGAAGGCGAGGTATTTTAACGTGATTCTAGATTTAACTGCCTCTGTGGCCGAATGGTTACCATGCCGAACTGCCACGCAGAGGTCCCAGGTTCGATTCCCGGGCCGGGAGAAATATTTGTATGGCCTACATTTGTATCTCTCGTGACCTTGGGTGTAATTTGTTGTTGTCTATATGTGTGTCCATGGCACCCACGACACAGGGTTTCCGTGGTGCGGGGCTATGTTGAGTGTGTTATTATTATTATTAGTGTGTGTAGTTAAGAGAGTGTATTATTATTATTTTTAGGGGAGCCACGCGTCCCGCCGTCTAAATTCATATGATTAATGCTCTGGCCACACAGCGGCGGCCGCGCGGCAGCGCGCGTTTCAGTGTGGCATTGTTCATATAAACTCGTACATTACAAAAATTCCCGCATCCGGAACACTTCCGCGGCCGCCTCTATATGGCCTGAGCATAAATAAAAACAGGCGGAGAAAATTTGACTCAGGTCCAACGTTAACAAGTGCCCGATTCCGACTGACGGGGCAGCGAGCGGCGCGGCGTATCTTTAAACCGCTAGGCAATTTTCAAGTTATTTATCTTTTTAAAGTAAAATATTCTTAAATAATTATTTTTAGACTTTTATGCTACCATATTTTCGGGATATTATATATTATGATCGGGTACAGTGGCGGATTTGCAGTCTTGGCTACCCTAGGCCCCAGGCCATGTAGTCAGTACCAGCCGCCCCTTTCTCAGCACTCATATATACTGGTAGACATATCTATATTTTATAAATAAAATTATAAAATATCGATATCTAATATAATTGTTATACAATGCGGTGCAATGCAGCCCGCCATAATGCGCGTGAGCCTTTAAAATATTTAGGTACTTTGAGTTATTTTTCGTTACCATCAGTGCATTTTTTGTCACGATTGGCCACCCCTAAAATCTGGCCTTAGGTCAAATCCACCACTGATCGGGTAAGGTACATCCTATCATGTAACAAATTCTTTAGACAAAGGTAGCAGTAGAGCTCCTTGTGAAAGAGTTCGTCCAGGGAAGTACTGCTGCCTTACCTATTTTTGCCGCCAAGCAGTAATGTCAGCATTACTGTGTTCTGGTTTTGAAGGGTATGGGTGCTGGTGAAATTCCATACACATGGAACTAGTCAAGTTAAGTCCCAGGGTGACGGGCGCATCGGCAGTGCCCCTAAGATCTTTGCTATTTAAAGCTGTGATTGGCACTGCAACTGTTATGGACAGGCGTCTAGCTTACCATCAGGCGCACGACTTGTTCCACCCGTCACTCTACTGCTACAGAGTTTGTCCCTCAATAAAATATGAAAAAATGCCTTTAGGACCAGCCCATGTTGCAACTGTATTACCATAATCCGAAACAATATTTTGAAATTGACTTATTACCTTGATTAACTCTTTTGGTAATCTTTTGCACGTACAGTGGGCTGTGGCTCTCAAGGAAGAAGAGATGGTGAAGTCATCGATGTGGCTGGACCTGGTGTTCTCTCTACTGATACTGAACAAAGCGACGCAGCATCACCTCGCGTCCACATTGAAGCCGGAGTTTATCGACAAACTGCTGTCGGCTGGAGGTAAGTAATAATAATAATAATAATTCGTTTATTTGCTTAAAACATGGTATAACAGACGATGTTACAAGAGAGTGCCAGTACAAACATGTTTCGCATATATTAAATAGCATGCAAATGTCTAGTTATATAATGTCGATCAGACTACCGTAACTCAATAATATAAAAATGTCACAAACCTGTCACGTTACAAATTAATTTGGTCAAGAATGATAATCTTTAAGATAAAATCTTACATCTCTTTTCTATCAAATATTTCGTTTAGGTCATTTTTTTTTATTTAACCACTTGTACAGCTTTGTTTTAAATAAACTTAAGTGTAATAGTTTAATCTCAAGTGGTTATGTCAACACACATTTTTAAACAACTTTTACTGTATTTAGCAGTCATAGGAATAGTGTCAAGTACAAGTCTATTCGGGTTTCTGCTGAGTCTAGTATTCACATCACAGGCTTTCTTAAACAAATATGTGTGTTTTCGTACAAAGATACAAATTTCGTATATATATAATGATGGTAGTGGCAACAGACCAAGGCTCTGAAACAAGGGTCTGCATGTTTCATCCGGGGAATTCCACAAATTGCTCTAATGCATTTCTTTTGTGCCACAAAAGCTCTGTTTCGATCTGTACTATTACCCCATACTATAAGACCGTAACGTAATATGGATTCTACATACGCCCTATATAATGGTTATGACAGCTTTCTTCTTTGTTATATTTTTCAGCTTTTTTAAAGCGTATTTAAACTTATTGATTCTCGAACATACATTCTCGACGTGAGTTTTCCAGTTCAGTTCTTGATCTACGGTTACTCCAAGAAATTTTGTATGGGATACTTCCTGAATTGCATTGATATTTAAATTGGAATTATATTTAGTATGTCTCGATTTATTAAATTGTATATAGTTTGATTTGTTTAAGTTAATATTCAGATTATTTGAATGTAGTCAATTGATTATTTCAACAATCGTATTGTTTATGTCTAGTTCATGCTCTCTTATTCATGTTGTTTTTCTACTAGAAGTTACTATAATAGATATGTCGTCAGCGAATAATATGCATTGATGTTTTGTTCTGTCTATAATATCATTTATGTACATCAAGAACAGAATCGGTCCTATCACACTTCCCTGTGGAACTCCACGTATTTTGATGATTTTAGGTACTGATTTGAATTCCAATAATTCATTGTGTGTTATTTTGGAGACAACAACGCATTGTTGACGGTTTGCCAAGTATGACTCCATCCATTGCAAAATAGGTCCTCTTATGCCTGTCCTTTCCAATTTCTTAAGAAGTAAATTGTGTGACACATAGTTAATTTTTCAGTCAAGTCACATAACTGACAAATTAAACTTTTCAAGTCCTAGTCATTTTACACCTACACAAATTATTAGTTTATCGTTGTCTTGTAATTGGGTTTCAATGCTACTTTTTAATATGTCTTTGCTTTGTGCAAACGGCTTAGTCTCAGCTGTAATGTTATATTTTCCATACTGTGTCTTTTCTCTAGAGTTTATTAAAGCTGATGCCACTCCGACACAGGATTGGGTACCAAAGATACAAAGCTTATCATTTGTGTGTGTTCGAGATACCAATGGTCTGATATCAGTTGAGGTTTTGGAGAGTGGTGACGATGATCGATTTTTTAGTTTATATTTTAAGGTATGAATTTGTTTGGAAAGAGCTGAGATTTCTTTATTTGCCTTAGCTAAATTACTTTCTAGTTCAGTAATTTTCCGCTGTAAATTAGTAATTACGCCATTAGTCGCATTTTCGGGTTGATTTCTGGTCTTACATGTTGATGATGATTTAGTTGGTGTATAAATGAGGTGTGTAGCTCTGGGCACTGTATTGACAGTCTTCGCTTTTTAGTTGTGTCATGAAGTTCTCTTTTTTGAGGTGACTGACAAAGTGTTTTCAAGGTGTTTATCTCCTTGTGAATTTATTTGTTTGCCTCCGGAGGCCATTGTTTTCAATTATTGTGTTTTCTAATTCGTGTTGTGTACTTGCTAATTCTGATGTATGTTGGCTTATAGTTTCTTTCATTTCTTGAATTGAATTATAGTCCGTTATAGTCTCATTTACACTCCTTGACAGTTGTATGGGTGTGGAGAACGACTCGTGTGATGTGTTTGTGTCCATCAATACGTGAGAGTCATCTGACCCAGAGTTGTGTACGTCATTTGGTGTTACCTGCAATCTGTCAATCTCCCACGAAGATTGACAGATTGCAGGTAACAACAAATGACGTCATTCAGTCATTAGTCTGTGGTAAGTCTTTATTTCTACGCCTTGTATTATGCGACGTGTTGCTAGTTGCCTGTTGAGCCGTAGACTGTGTTGTGCATGTTCTACATCACCATTCCTTTCTACATTCGGATTGCATAAGGTGGAAAACTTTTTTAGGAAGACCTATGCAATCAAATTCAAAGTTGTGTTTATAAACGCGACACAAAACTGTATCCTTTCTATCTATAAACTTTTTACATTTATGACATGTCACAAAAGCAGGATTTTTTCGTACGCCACAGCCTGTTGAAATCTTCGATTTAGTAGACATTATGGTTAAGTGTCTTTACTTTAGGGCAATATAAACAACAGTACAATAGAAAAAAATAATAATAAAAAGAAAATATAATACGAAACCAGCAGGACCGAACCCGAGTCAAACGAGTCAACTATAACGCACGGTTGCACGGTCTACCGCTGAGCTGACGCTTGCTTAAGATTGTTGGCGAAATAGTTTGATATATATTATGACACCTCTTAATAACTACCGAGCGTCTTATTATTTTATAAACAGATTTCAATACACCCTCAATAATCACTTTCAATTGCACAAAATACCGATGTTTAACGACACTGTTGTTTATAACATTTAATTCTTGTTTTACTGTATTGTTTACAATATCGTTGATCAATACACCACTCACTGTAGGTAAATATCGTCTGATTTCTTTCAAAGCCTGATTGATCTACTAAAACTACTAAACTTACTGTTTCTTAGGTACTTTCCTTTTCCTTGAAATTCTATGATATTACACTTTTATACAGATGCACCAGGTATAAAAAATAGACCATTTAAAGTTAGTTTAGACACGATATTACTAATTATAAAAAAACGAGGCACTTTTACTAATTTAAAGGACTTTTAAAAAAGTAACCTGACCACACTCAGTGTACTTCTCCTACTGCCTCTTTAACTCCCCCAGTGGCCGAACGGTTACCATGCCGGACTGTCACGCAGATCTCTCAGGTTCTATTCCCGGGCCCGGAGAAATTTTGTGTGGCCTACATTTCTATGGTTTTAGTCAAATGGGATACAAGTAAAAAAACCCCAACATATGACCCCATACAAGGAGACGCGAAAACAGTTAAAGCTTAATATGATATGAAACGTTCGGTGTTTTTCGCGCTTCCTTGTAATGTTGGCTTTTTTGACTTGTACCCCTTTTTACTAGAGCCACAGATGTATACGCTTCTATAATAAGATTCCGGTTGATATTCAAAGTTCATGAGGTTTAAAATTGTAGTGAAACATAAACTTATGACAAAAATCCATAGTTGTGATCGGTAGTCACGAATTAGGAAATGCGAATTAAATATTGTAAATGATAAATGTGTACAAATGTTCATTTACAAAGAGCAACTCCTGGAGTTTCTTAATCATTTTTCTCATGGGAATCTGCCTTACGAATGAGCAGTAGAGTTTTAATGAATAATTAAATGTAATTAAAATGTGTAATTTTCTTACCTATGAAATAAAAACTATATTTGAGTTTGAAAAAACTAGTTAGTGCCCTGTACTATGAGTACCAGAGCAAGGAAATCTACTCCGTAGGACATTGAACTTTTTTTTTACGACTTCCATACCCCGGCCTGCACAGAGTAATTACAGTGTAGAGCGATTTATTTAAAATGTTTTGTAAAAAGTCAAGGACCAAAACTTGTTGTTTATGATGTTAGTAATTTAGTCCCATGAGGTTTAGTATTTTAAAAATAACCCTTTATAATTATTATGTAGTCATCACTTTTAGTTCTTTAAAATAACGCCTTGTCGGGATTCAATAAGTTTCAGCTACATAATCCGTATCTAGCATAACTACTTTGTTAGTCAAATAAATATGGAAAAAGTATGCAATAATTACTAAATTGTTTACATTATATGTACTTTTATATAATCTACGTATTATAGGTAACGCGATGATGTACAGACTTTCACCATTGAATCTTTAGTAAAAATGTTACACATTTGTATCTTTAGAATGCTGACTAGATCCGTAACAGGGCACTATAGCTTGAACAAGCACATGTTAAATCTTGGTCAGAGAGGAAACGGAGAGAACGCGCTGAGTTTGACTGGCGCTGCCATTGTTATGGATAGGTGTGTCACATATCCATAACAATGGCAGTGCCAGTCAGAGCCTTAAACCTATTTAAATCGCAAAGATCTGAGTGGCACTACCTTTGCGCCCGCCACTCTGAGACATAAGTTAACAACTCCCATGTAATTTACCAGCACCCATACCCTTCGAAACCGAAACGCAGTAATGCTCACATTACTGGTTGGCGGCAGACATAAATAAGGTGGACGACCTGCTGATGTTAAAACGGGTTGCTACTCGTTAATAAGGTTATTTTTTTCCCTGATGTATGTGTGATCAAAGTTGTGGCCCGCTACATTGGAGACGTGGTATCGTTTCCAGAGATCCCGATACCCGCCCGGCGCAAGTTGATGGCTATCGACGCGTGGGTGGGCCTGACAGCGCCGTCGTCTGTACGTCTGCCCGAGGACGTTTCCGTGGGCGTGCCCGTGGTTTACACCAAGGAGAAGGCCTCGTACGTGCACAGCATCTTGGACACCTTCAAGAGTCTGGTCTCCGCCGACACCTTCTTCAGGAGGGACTGCAACTCGGGCATGGGCTTTTTGTATGGTCAGTTCATTTTAGTTTTTTTAGTTATAATTTTTACTTACTATTAGCTAAAAGTCTGACGACCTTATACTATTTGTAAAGGAATTAAACCACTTCCTACACAGTGTCCGAATTTTTAAATAACAAACCGTAAACATCGTTGTCGAATTTTTGCAATTATTTTCTATACAACAAGTGTTTTTACAAATAAATAAATTAAGAATAAAATAAATAAAATGTCTTGAAGTTGTGATATAAATTGCGTATTTTTTTTATAACATCAAGTGACGGGACGAACAAGTCGTGCGCCTGATGGTAAACTACACGCCTGTCCATAACAGTTACAGTGCCACTCAGAACTTTAACTTGCAAAGATCTAAGGCACTGCGCCCGTCACCCTGAGACATAAGTTGACAAGTCCCGTGTGCCTGTAATTTCACCAACACCCTTACGCTTCAAAACAGGAACACAGTAATGCTGACATTACTGCTTGGCGGCAGAAATAGGTAAGGTGGCAGTAGTTCCCTGGACGAACTCTTTCACAAGGAGCACTTCTGCTGCTAAAATGCGTTGTATGCGTTAAAGCGTTTGCATTGTAAAGTTACTTGTTAGGATCAAACGTAATTTACACCCGTAAATGAACTTAAACTTCCATTACATATTTCGTTACTATTCCACAGATGCCGAATTTGCTGTTGATGCCAAGTGCCATCCGGTTCCCTTAGAAAAAGCGGACAAAAATAAAAAGTAAGTCATTGTCCATATTATGTCATAAAAAAAATCAATCATTGATATTTTGTGACCCATTCTAATAAGATTTTCAATTTTAATGACGATGACTTTATTCATACACGTACTAAAAAAAAAATAATTAAAGAATTGCACGATTTAATTCCGCATTCCCCTTCCCATCACGGGGGATTAGACTTAGGCTTGGGTTCGTTACGCGTCCACATTTATATGGAGTACAATTCCGTGTCTGCAGACTTAAGGTGGTTGTCCACCAGCTAGGCGAGACGAGGATTGATATTTGTATGGCAAAATTTCAATTCTCACCTGGCAGATCTTCGATGGTAATGGTCTGGATGTGCAAGGAGAGAATTGAAATATTTGTTTATGTAATATTCAATCGTATTGCTGCCTACATACAGTTATTAACTTTCCAACGGTAACACGGTTTCTCGCGCGAGTTAGCGATGGCTATTAATGTCAATCGCGACTTTGTGAGGCTTTGAGAGTTAAAAATAAGATGGCTTTTTTATCATACCAAGTGACTGACGAACAAGTCGCGCACCCTGGTGGAAAGCGACACGCCTGTCCGTAACAGTTGCAGTGCCACTCAGCTTTAAATCGCAAAGATCTGAGGGACACTGTCGCCTTGAGACATAAGTTGACAAGTCCCACGTGCTTATAATTTCACCAGCACCCTTACGGTTCAAAACCGGAACGCAGTAATGCTCACGTTACGGTTTGGCGGCAGAAATAGGTAAGGCAGTACTTCCCTGGATGAACTCGTTCACAACGAGCTCTACTGGCTTCATCTGGTTCTTCTTTCGTTATAAACATATTTAATAATAATATTTTACGGGTCATTTCACTTCCGCCGCGTCTTTATCGCTAAACAAACTGAACAGCACTGAATCTTCACTATCCACAAACACAGCGTAAGTTCGCGAGAACGAGAGCTAGTAAATTTTTATTGAAGTACTTACGCGTTCCTCCCTTCACTACGACGGCAGCGGTGCGGGTGTGAGTCTTCAGCAGATGGCACAGTCTTGTTCGTTAGAAAGAGAAGAGATAAAAAATTAAAGGAATTATTAAAACATTTTCAAGCAATTTGGGTTTTTATAGCGACACTGACTGCTAAAGTCAACACCAACGACACCGCGCAGCCAGTTTCGTTTCAGTCAGTACGCGAGGCATTCGATATCATTGTAGATTGCATAGCACAGGTAGAATACTGAACAACTATTAATGGCAATTTTTGGTGGAATTGTATGTATAGACCGGCGAGATTTCAATTCTCGTCTCGCCTCGCCAGTGTAAAAGCACCTTTATTCCCTGGACGCTATAACTTTTTAAGGCGAGAGTAAATAGGCATTATTCAGGTGTGCATGCTCCATCTTGGACGTCATCGTCACTTTCCATCATCATAAAAAAAGAACCGAAAACATAGTTTAATTTCCAATGTGTAACAAAATCTAAGCGCACTTCATATAAAATATAGTTGTTTATTTTTTCAGTATATTCAGGATAGCAGTGTTAGGTCTGGACTATCACGATATGACGCGCAAGACGACCGTGCCTCTAGGGGTCAATCAGCTCTACACGAGATTACTACAACTAAAGGTATGTGCCCCGTTTCTTACCATTGGTTGTGTAAAATATGACAGTCTGACAAACAGAAAGACAGTTCATTGTTAGAGACATTATGTAATTGACTATTTTTTAAATATAATTTACAATTTATATTCACAATATGAATATAACCTTATTATAGATTCTTTTTATATTATGAAAAGAGTAGTTTATGTAACTGTTACCTATTGAACGGCATACGAGTGTGGGTTACAAAAACTGTTTAATGCCTAAGTTATATGTACTGCTTTATCTATGCACATATTATAAGCTCTCTGTGATGTGTTCAGGAACCGCGTGTTACGACTGGCGAAATGGCGGTAAATAAAAACTTTCCTCACGCATGTCACACAATCGTGGTTTTTATTTAATTCATAGACAAACTAGAGTCAGCCCGAACTATCATATTGTTCGATATCAAGTAACGTGAGAAATTGTTTACTATTGACATTAATTTTATTTCGAATAAAACTTCATCTCGACTGATATTAGAGTTGAGGTTGAATCAAATTGTTTTGTTTTTCAGAGATGTTCGTAATTTGAATGTAATAATAAAAATGAATTTGATGTTATTATGAAGCATCGAGTATATAACTAGAAATAGAGACGAAATAAGGGCCATATATTCCTGGCAACACATTAGCGATACAGCTCTTATAAATATCCACTTTCGTTTGCACTGAAATATAGACAGGCCAACTACTGACCTGTGTACGTCTTCGTATATTCCAAAAAATATTTTGTATTTATTGTATTAAGGATAATATCTTTAACAACAATAATAATAATAATAATAATAATAATAATAATAATAATAATAATAATAATAATAATAATAATACTTTCTCTTACTTACTTACTCGATAACTATAGACCGATAACTATAGTGCCAAATATCTCAAAAATAATAGAATCGTTTCTTTCCTCACAAATAATGTCACATTTGGAGAATAATAATCTTGTCGCGAACAACCAGTACGCCTATCGTAAACTCAAGTCCACCACCGCAGCTGCACAGAGAGTAGTAGACACAATAGTTACGGGGCTGGATGGGAAATGCAAGGTAGCAGGTGTGCTGTGTGACCTCTCCAAAGCGTTTGACGTAATCAGCCACGAATTGCTCTTGGAAAAACTATACCACTATGGTATACGACAAAGGACACATGATCTTCTAAAATCATTCTTATCTGGAAGAGTTCAAACAGTTGAGGTGGCGACAGCGGGGAACAAACTGCGCAGCACCACTGGTACCGTGAACCTGGGAATTCCCCAAGGATCTTCACTGGGAAATACACTCTTCCTGACATTTATTAACGACCTTCCGTCGCACATCACAGATGGCTTAGTGGTATTGTTCGCTGACGACACTACCGTAATTGTGTTTGCGCCAACGTATGACGAACTCAATACAAAAATAAACAAGGTTTATACCGGTTTAATGAATTGGTTCACTTCTAATGGTCTCATACTAAACGCTGCAAAATCCAGCCTAATCCTATTCTCCGGTAAATCGGTTCCGAGACCTGCGTGTTTAAACAGCCCAATGCCCATAAATGACCACAGTAAGTTCTTGGGATTTGTTCTAGATGACAATTTAACATGGAAACAACATATAAATGCTATGTGTGGTAGACTTAGTGGTGCCGCATATGCGCTAAAGAAGTTGAGACCTGTCGTTACCGATAGTATACTGCGTCAGACCTATTTTGCGTATTTCCATTCAATAATGTCATATGGCATCATTCTCTGGGGTGATTCCACTGACTCAGGTAGGGTGTTCGTTCTTCAAAAGCGAGCAATTAGAATCCTTGCTGGTGTATCACGCAGAATCTCTTGTAGAGACTTATTTGTAAAATGCAGGATAATGACGATGAGTTCGTTGTATTTGTATGAAACAATTACCTTTGTACGAAAGAACTTGCACACCTTTAAAAGGTGTGGAAGTGGCTATAATACCCGCTCCACAGGACGACTGCAGATAGTGCCACGACGCTTGGCACTCGCTGAAAAAAATCCGCGCGTAATAGGCCCGACATATTATGAGCATCTACCTGCTGATCTAAAAAATGAATCTAATGATGAAACATTTGATCGTCGACTGAAAAACCTTTTGTTGGATAATGCGTATTATTCTGTTGGAGAATATAGGAATGTGATATTGTAATTATTATTTTTTATTTCTCATTGTATTTGTTGTTATTATAAAATATATAGTTTAACTTGTGACTGTACAAATTGTACTCATATTAATTTATTTTGATTTTATATAATTTAATTAGAAATTTTTGACGATTCTTGTAAAACAATAAGTTATATTATAACTGTATTTATAAATGTAATGTAAGTTTACAAGAAAATAAATAAATCTAAAATCTAAAATCTAAAAATCTTTATTTTTATTTTTTTTATTTATTTTTTTTATTTTATTTCGGACAGTTATCCATAGTTTGTTAGTAAAGAACTTAGGAATAAGGTTAGTATTATGCTAAAATTACAATAAAATAAGATAATGTGAAACAAATAAAAAATGAAAAACAAAATAATTATACAATTCAAATCCAAAAAATAAACCACGAATACAACATTAAATATAAAATTATAAAATTGAAAATTACAAAATTGAAAATTAAAAAATTGAAAATTATAAAATTGAAAATTACAAAATGGAAAATTACAAAATTAACAATTAACAATGCACGTGCTGTTCTATTCGGTGGTGTGGGAAAAACAGCAAAACATCTAATTACAAAACAAACAGCATCACATGTCATCGGTAATTAAATATTAATATGTAATTTTATAATTTTCGTCCATAATAGCAAAGTTCAAGTTAACTGGTCGATTTGAAGTGAAACAGTTGACGACACCCGTCAATTGTTTCGAATTCGGGCTAGCTATTCAAGCTAATCGAAGCGCAGTTGTCACAGTAATGATATGGCAGGATAGTTTTCAAACAAATTAAATGACATTTCGTCTCTATTTCTGGTTATATGCTCGATGTTATGAAGCAATAATAACATTTTCACAGTTAGGAAATTTGTTCTAACAGTTTATCTTTATGCTGGTCGTAATTTGCGGTTTTTAATACAAAATAGAGGGTTCTTAATTCATTAAATTACATGTGAAATAGTTAAATTTGCAAATTAAAGGTCAGCAATAGATTATGTCAACAGATCCTAAATTTTTAACTGGTACTTTTGTATTTAATTAGAAAACTGAACTTGATAATAACAATTTTTTTTTGAATATATCACATACATGGATTTAGTAAGTCGGTCAGTTATTTAAAGGTTATATTGATTCGGGTCAAAATTGATAATGATAATTGTAAAGTATATCTATATGTCAAAATTAGACAAAAGAGAAAAATGTTATAATAAATCGAACTGGGCTTTACGGATTCAATACCATTGCCGCCAAACGGGAAAATATAAAATACAAAATGTCAAAGTTTTTTTTGTGACTATAGGAAAATATACTAAGGGATCGTATTCCAGAACTCTTCTCAATATTGAAGTCAGGACTTGACTATTGCAGTGAGCACTGAAAATCAAACTCAAATCCTTGCCATTAGGGTCGTATTTCCAGTGCTTGAAATCATACTCAAGTCTGCTCAAATCCTTACTTGAGCATTGAGTAGAGTTCTGGAATACGACTCTTAGGGTCGTATTCCAGAACTCTACTCAATGCTCAAGTCAGGATTGCACTGGAAACACAAGCACTGGAAATATGACCCTAATGGCAGGGACTTGAGTATGATTTCGAGTGCTTTAAACCATACTCAAATCCTGACTTGAGCATTGAGTAGAGTTCTAGAATACGACCCTAAGTGTGAAAAGGCCGTATGGTAGAGCCTTTGTCTATCCAAATAAATTGGTGTAAATGTATAAATTTTTTTTGTGATTGGCATTTAACGTAACAATATTTGTAATTCTGTCAAATGGAGAAACCTAAAACTAGGTACTTTAAAAAGCTTTAAAAATCGGGTCAGAACGGAATACAATAAGTTAGAAATTTATCACTATTTGTATTTATTGTGAAATCGCTTTCTTAGCGATGAGGCTTTTTTCTGATCTGCACTTTTGATTGAACATAGAGACAAGTTTTAACTTGATTGTGCAAGTTTAATTATCGCGAATGTCATGTTTTATTGTTCATGGATTATTTATTAAAATTACGATTGCAGTGTTAAGTAATAAAACATTGCATTTTTTAAGAAATTAAAATAATTTATATCTTACTAAGAACTTGAATGAAGTTTACAAATTTTCAAAAGCAACTGCATGTTTGAGATAAACCAAATTTGTCGTAATTCATTAAAGATGCATTTTTTATTGAAACAAAAATTTTCTTTATAATTAGAAGGCTCATTTTTGTAAAACACCCAAATATTTGTCAAAATTAAAATTCTTCTTGCAGGGCTTCAAAGTTCTCCAAATTCCATACACAGAATTCAATCCAAAAGAGAAATTAGTGACACGAGTACAATACATCGAGAAGAAATTAAAAGAACTTATCAAGGCCGTTTGACAACCGCTTACTAAGCCGGCCAAAGCGGCTAATAAGGCTAAAGTGGCTAAAAAGGTCAAAGAGGCCAGAATGGCCAAACCAGCCAAGCCGGCGAAGAAACAGTGAGATAGTATGGACTTGTATTTATACAAACAGTGAATTAGATTAATTTATATTTTCGAATGTTGGTAAATGTGCTTAGGTTTTTACTGTGAATGACGTTAGCTCCAATTTCCAACAACTATACTAAGTATTCAGTTTTTTTCGATCGACATATTCTGTTAAACTAATTTTTGTATTCGATGAGGGTCAATTCTCCAAATTGCGAAGTGTATCGAATTCCTGAGGATGTATGACGCGTACATCATTTTGCTCTTGGAATGTGTTCTGACCAGGGGAGAGCAAGCACCCGGGTTTTAACCTTTGTTGTTGTTAATCTAAGTCTGGTTAAGTCCGAAATCGAGGGCAAAAACTATTTACAACTAAATATTTGTAAATCGATTTTTTTTCAAATGTAATGAGGTTATTACGCAATGTTTATTGCTTGCTTATATTATTTTGTCTTTCTATTGAATCGATTCGCTTGAAAATCGCATTGAATTGAATCGATACAAAGACTCGTTATCGTACACTTGAATCGATTTTCATAAAAATCGAATGTGCATTCCTAATAGTAAGTGAGAATCCAAAGGCTAGCAAGGAGGGTATTGAGTGGAATTCGTTTAAAAAAGATTTTTTATATGGAAATTACTAATAAGTATGGAATTTCGCAATAGCAAATTCCGTATTCGCCTTTTCTGCCCACAATTTTGGGCGTTTTGGTTAAAATTCCGGGCATTGTTTGGGTTTTAACACACTGCCCACCTCTGGCTCGTACGGTACTTATCTGGGTGCGGTTATTTGCACGGATTGGTTTGGTGGTTTCAATTGTTGTGTCTGAGCCAACAAGTAGAGCTGCGAAGATTTTGCAATACATGTTTGGTTAGGTAATACTCGTATTTTGATGTATCTGTTTGGATTCTATTAAGTACGTTCTTGGATGTATTATTTTTCTAATGGGGCTGACATGTTCAATAATTATCAAAATAAATAAAGGGTTAAAAAAAGGATTCAGTTTAAAAAATGTTGTTTATTATAAATATGAAAGTTGTTTAGACCAGCTGGGCTGCGTTTGGCAAGTTAGATGACATTCTCAAATCATATAAGATTCAGACAGTGCCTGAAGACCCGCTTGTTTAATCAATGTGTTGCACCCACCATGACGTATGGTGCCGAGACAAGGACGCTCACGCAGGAGACTGTATACAAGTCGAGAGTTGCACAGAGGGTCATGCAGCGCGCCATGCTTGGCATCAGCCTTGTGGTTAGAGCTCCGAACGTTGAGATCCGACGACGGACGAAAGTCCAGGATGCTGGAACTCGGATCATGGAACTCAAACGGTCGGGACACATAGCAAGGCGAGGTGATAGCAGGTGGTGAAAGACGTCGATTGGTTGGTGGCCAGTTCCAAGGTGGGTCGACGACATAGTACGCGTCGCGGGGCGTCAATGCTAGTACAGGACAGGACAGGAGATGGCTCCTCGTGAGTTAATCCAGTCCATTTCCATTTTTATCTACCATCACCCCCAAATCCTGTATCTCATCTACCGTCCATAATTTTTGTCCAACAATTTTATATTCATATGACTCCAGTTTGCTGCGTGAAAAACCAATATAGTGACATTTACCGATATTTAGTATCATTTTGTGAGACAAGCACCAATTATGTAAATTATTAATAACTTCTAAGACACCAGCAGAAAGGTACATACATGCTTGAAAAATATAGGATCAAATGAGACCCTGAGAAACCCCGGATAGAACAACAAAAGCATTTGAACAAAAACCATTAACAATTACTTTAGAACGCCGACAAAACAAGTAAGATTTGACCACATTTGACCCATTCAAGCAATGACCCTTCATTGCCCAGAATCGACAATTAGTTTAATACGATTTGATGGTCAACCTTGTCGAATGCTTACTGTGTACTGTTGTAGTAGCAGACCTCCTTGTGAAAGAGTTCGACCAAGAAAGTACTGCCACCTTACCTATTTCTGCCGCCAAGCAGTAATGTGAGCATTACTGCGTTCCGGTTTGGAAGGGTAAGGGTGCTGGTGAAATTACAGGCACATGGGACTTGTCAACTTATGTCTCAGGGTGACGGGCGCAGTGGTAATGCCCCTAAGATCTTTGCGATTTAAGACTCTGAGTGGCACTGCAACTGTTATGGACAGGCGTGTCGCTTACCACCAGGCGCGACTTGTTCGTCCTTTCACTTGGTATTATATTAAAAAATCTGCTCTCTCCGTTTCCTCTCTGATCAAGATTTAATATGTTCTTGTTCAAGACAGTGCCCTGTTAAGGATCTAGTCAGCATTCTGTAAGATACAAATGTGTAACATTTTTACTAAAGATTCAGTGGTGACAGTTTCTGTACATCATCGCGTTACCTGTAATACGTAGATTAAATTAGCAGGTATTATTATGAAACAGTAGTAAGGTCTGTATATAAAAGTACCTGCAATGTAAACAATTTAGATTGCATACTTTTTCCATATTTATTTGACTAACAAAGTAATTATGCTAGATACGGATTATGTAGCAGAAACTTCTTGAATCCCGACTACTCATAATTATAAAGGGTTATTTTTAAAATACTAACAACCTCATTGGACTAAATTACTATCATCATAAACAAGTTTTAGTTCATGACTTTTTACAAAACTTTTTAAATAGATCGTTCTATACTGTAATGACTCTGTGCAGGCCGGGGGTGGGAGTCGTCGTGGAGGACGCTTGCAAGTTTGAATTTACCTTTCTAACAAATTTATTATGTTTTGTAAAAAATCATGGAACAAATGTTGTTGTTTAAGAAGTTAGTAATATAGTCCTGCCAGGTTGTTAGTATTTTAAAAATAATCCTGTATTTTAAATTTTTATTGAATTGATATTCAATTATTTTTGTGAAATTACTCCTCTAGTTTGTTATAATTATTAATACAAAGATCGCTTAAAATACAGTGAATAGTGACATCTCTCACCAGGGCTGGTAACTGTAAAGGTTTCATAGATTTCTCATAGATGGCGCTACGGCTAAAAAGTCGTTGAAAAAACCAAATACAAAGACACGACAACAAACACAGACAAAATTCATGAAGTCCGCTGGTTCGTTCCGTGGCTTAGTTGGTATAGCGTCTCGCACGGTATCCTAGAAGACGTCGGTTCGAATCCTGCCGGATCGAAAGAAATTTTTCTGAGTGTTCGATCTTTGTATTAATGATTATAATCCTGTATATTAGACAACGTCACATGCGTTGGTCTGATCCCAAAGTAAGGAACTAAAACACTTGTGTTGTGGAGATCGGAAACAACGACGGTACCACAAACACACATATTCGAGAGATTGTGACACCATGAAAACCGATGTGCTATCCACTCGACCAGAGAGGGCCTTAATAATGTTTCGCGATTCACACTTACCATTCTAGGATCGACACTCTAAAGCACGTTGTCAAAATAATTTGTTATTCGTAAATTCTAGTGGTGACTTTTCAAATTAACATTCTCTCTAATTATTCCGATATTATAAACAACATGTAAAAACAAATTTTTGTTTATTTTTTTGACGTATTTTCTTTTAAGTCTGTCGACCCTAATATATTAGTAATAAAAATCATTGTCGCTGTTAAATTTAAACACATTTTATAAATTTTAATTAGCAAGAAACCCTATTTGTATATACGTTAAAAATGTACATGTAACAACATCTAACGTATAGTTGTTACACAAACGTGTATGGATGTGGACGTGTTGTACGAAATTGTATGATTGGTGTGTATAGAAAATATTGTTAATAGTATTAATTAAAATAAAAACAACCACAAACAACAACATTTGTTTTTATTCTTATTACTATTTTAACATAAACGCACTTTGCCTAATAGTAACCTAATTACATTTCACTAAGTCAATGGGGAGGAGTGTTGGTTCGTGGAAAAAAATCCATTTTGAACAAATCATATTTTTTCAGAAAAATTTTTTTCCGGATATTTTTCCACATTCGACATTGGTACATGTCAAAAAGGTTTTTTTCACTGTTGTCCAAACATTTTAAATCTCGTTTTTCTCTAAATTGCTTTTAGTTACACAATTTTATTTTATAATTCACTCTAAATAAAATTTCAAAAGATATTTCTAAACGAAGAACATAATATGAACTTTCGAATTTAATTTTTACAAAATTTTTCAGAAATTGTTCCAGAAAAATTTCCACTATTTGAAATTTTTCTGAAAGTTACCCAACAGGGAGCCACATGTAAAGCTAATTCCAGATGGCGCTACCATCGCTGGAACTTGTCATCAGTTGTCATGATGTTATATACTTTGAAGTGTTAGTTACCACCTTCCATGAAACTAACCAATAACACTTATGGATTTATAGAGGATGGCTAAAAAAAGGTTGAATTATGATAACAGTGTTCACGTGAATTACTGGCCACATCATATCAGAACGTTAAATTTGAATAAAAACAAAATGACTTCAATTGTCTTTTCATTTCGATTAAACTGTGTGTATTAAGAGGGAGCAGAGGAAAAATTCCTAATCTTCGATTTGATTTTAGAGGGGCATATCCACTTTAAAGTTAAAAATAAAATATTGTATGAGTAACTACACGATATATACGCAAAATAGGCGCTTTGTCGTCGAGTTGCGGATACCAGCCCGTTGCACCAAGTACCAAGTACCAACTACACGATATATTCAAGCATAGACATTAATCAGAAACATAAAACAATAAAGTTTCCTCGATAGATAAAAATCACGAAATGACCTCTAATTTTTTCGATTTATCCTCGAAATGCTGCAGGTTATTAGAACAAAAATTAGATAATTAATTATATTTATGCATGATCGACAACTGTCACTACGGATTTTTTAAAATCCCTTTAGTTTTAGAGTAATTCCGCTAAAACGAATTTGGTACTTTTAATGCGCAAAATTCAACATCTGTCGCATGCCACGCGAACTTAAGGCATATATTTGTTTCACAAATTTGGGCGGAGCCAACGTCAAAACTTTTTTGGCAAGCTCCCTCTTAAGTGGCTAGAACTTTTTAATTAAAAAATAAGCGCGTATTTGAATCTATGTCATCTGATGCAAAGTGGCGATGAAATCGACGATGGAGCATGCATACTTAAATAATGCCTCCCCTTGGCCCAAGGCCCAAGTTAGTTCAGGGAACAAGTCTGCAGGCAGGGAATTCCACTCCATAGCCGTTCGCCATATAAATGTAGAAGCGTAATGCTTCGAACGCATCTTCGGAATATCCACAACATAGAATTGGAACCCCAGCCTATGTCTATTCAACCTGATAATGGAAACGGGAAGGGCATGTGTCCAGTAAATAGTTTTGAATTCTAGAGTTTTGCCTCCGTCGCCGAACAGTCACCATGCTGGACCGAACTAGCAGTTCTGCAACGCAGAGGTCCCAGGTTCGATTCCCGGGCCGGAAAAAATATTTGTACGGTCTCCTTGACCTACCAACAAAATGGTCTACATTTATTTCTCTCGTGAGTTTGTGTGGAATTTGTGGTTGTCTATGTTTGTGTCTATGTCACCCGCGGTACAGGGTTTCCCTAGTGCGGGGCTATGAGTGTGTGCGTTATTATTATTATTATATTTATAGACTCTCGCCTCTCCCAAGGCCTAAAAGATTAATTTTGAATTTTTAAATGGGAGAGGCGGTATTTCCCGGCTATGGCACAGTCGGCTGGGGTCAGGGACTCTGGTCCAATACCGGCGAACAATACGTGCCGTATCGAGCAGGACCGCCTTCTGCATTTGTGCTGGAAGCGAAACGCCACAGAAATCCAACCGCCTCAAGCTGTTAGAAAGGCTGACTGGAATTAACCCATTTGCGGACAAATAAATTGGGATTATTTCAGTGGAGGCCACATCCCACATGTCTTTATCTCGTGCGCCAGGTGGAGATACTTCCGGCGTTCCTCGGTTTCAGCTTATTATTATTATTATGAGGATTTTTTCCGCGCACCTTAATGGGTGATGATTGAGTTACTGTGCGCTGTAGTGGCTATATACTAACTATTGTATTCTAAGTTGACGGCTTACGATTAATGTCGTTTTGATTATCACGGCTTTTTGTTATTATTATTATCATTACTAATTGCAAACAGTGGCAGCAGTAATCCATACACGACGGGATTTGTTTCAGCGTAATGCATTGATTCATTGCTTCGTTTCATTTTGGTAAGCGTTGTACTCTTTTATTTTTATAGTTGTACTATATAGATACATTTGTTGCTATAATTTTCTTGTTTTAAAGGAAAATGTGCGCATTTTGCGCCAGCGATTATGCGCCATCTAGCGGGATAAAGAATCAGTGTACCTTTCAGTTGAATAGGTTCACAAATTGAACTACAAGAACTTGATAATTTGATTTTAATATAAATGAATGAGTTTCATGTCCACAAAATGCGCATCAGTTAGAAATCACATGTCTTGCTGATTATTTTAGTTGCTTGTATATACGGTAAGCTCTGAAACAAATAGAAGTATTAAATTTAAGTTTAAAAAATCCCAATTAGGATAAATTGAATTTTTTTTTCGCAATCATATTATAACAAGTAATTATTTAAATGACACATTGTGAAAAGTACTTTTTTTGATATATGAATATAAGATATTTTTTTTAAATATAACTTAATCTAATACAATACAAGTAAAACAATTGCAAATAAAGCTATTATAGTATTAAAATAAGCATTAAGACAGGAACATAAATTACTAATATTCATAGCTATAAAACATTTTAATATTAGAACCTAACGTATTGCGATGCTTAAAGTAAATGTGTGCTTGTATTTAAGGCATCTTTAAAAAAAAAAAAAGATTTTCTATATTTAACAGTAAAATAATTAGTAGTTATAAATTAATGGTTACCCTTGGTTACCTATATAAAAATAATTATGAAACAACATCCAGCAAGCCCTCTGTTCGTAAGTTTTACTCTTAGGCATTGACTTAATTGTGAGTCAATGCTCTTAGGCCAGAATTTGATAGTCTTTTTACATTCTATTTTATTAATGGCGAAATAATGCAAAGTAGAATTTAATTTAAAGTAAATTAAGTGTTTTGATAATGAAGAAAAAGTTTAAGGTTTTTTATTCATATGCAATAACAACAAGGAGACTACTTTATATATTATCAGGGATCGGAATAGGTAGAGTTTTTTGCCTAAACTTCGAGGCGTATATACAGAAAATGAAGACTGCCTTACGACAATATTTTTTAGGTCCTGGACCTGTTCGGGATTCGGGAAATCACTTAAGTACATTAAAAATTGACGTAAGTGGGGACAGGCTGGTACACTATATTCATCTTAACTTTGCGACGCACAGTGGGTTGGATCTGGGATATTGCGGACATTAGATTTTTTCACGATACCTCTCTAAAAAACAAAATGCCAATCGAGAGATCCTATTGTTGTAATTAAATATTGCTATATCATATTTTGCCATAAATTTAATAGTTTAGTAGGAAAAAAAATTAAATGTGTATTTTTTGTATGGGACCTTTAGTGCCCCATCGTTACAAAGTCTTAGTTGATCCAGTCTTGGAATCACTACAGATGTATTATTAGACCTATCTTCTATAGATTTGCATACTATACTCGCGCCAAAACCGGCCTATGCACTACATATACTTATCAGAAAATGTGCAATATAAGTACTGAATAGGCAGGTTTGGGCGCGCGTTTAGTGTGCGTCAATTTTTAATGTTCTTAAGTGATTTCCCGAATCCCGAAAAGGCCCAGGACTTAAAAAATATTGACGTAAGGCAGTCGCCATTTTCTGTCTATGTTCCTCGAAGTTTAGGTAAAAAAACTCTACCTATTCCGATCCTTGTATATTATGTTCTCAGTCAGGAGCTCGAGACTAATTTATTCCTGAAACATAACCAAGAGTAAAACTATCTTCTTTACGGAATTCTTGTTCCGTGATTTTCTTAATATCTCTTGGCAATGTTCATTACCGATTCGATCTTACAGTGAAACTCGGAGCACAGCCCTTCTGATTGCCCTATGGGTTGTCTTGAGCCTTCCTAAGAAGCCCATAGAGTTCAACCACGTCTCAGTGCCGTAAATAATCACTGGCAATTCACACTGACCAACGACTTTTGCCTTGATTACACTGTGGTACTTTGTACAAGAATATATGGTGTAAATTAATATGACAAACGTTATTTCGACCAAAAATATGTCATTTCGATGCCTTACTTTCTCAAACTCGTATCTAATTAAGAGTTATTCAGGAGATGGCTAAACTTTCTATTTGATTTGAATTTCTTATCAAGGGTGTTAAGTATGGATAACGCACGGATACCGCTGTGTTGCAATCACCCAATTATTGCGACTTTCGGCACGAGGCGCCTTCGCAGCACAACGTGATGGACCAGTTGCAGCACGGGGCGCCGATGCAGCGGAACGTGACTACAGCACAAGCCACCTTCGGAAACCGGATGTGTGCCATCGTCACTTTTGATTCTAACATGGATCATTAGACACACAATTTTAGTTTAATAATTTTATTGTAATTTTTAGAAAAATTATTGACAAAGACCACTTAATTTTATAACTGCACTATGCTATATATTCGTATTTCTTTTACTGAACCTTCACACAACACTCATACACACAGACACTCTATCACATCTCCCCCCACACACACGCACTCGTTCACAGACTGTCTGCAAGTTTTAAATTTTACAAAATTTTAATATAACATTTACGTGAAGCTCCATGTAATTAGGGACCTAAGAAATATTGTGTTCATGATGGATCACAGACTCCTAAGATACAAGTTTTCTTAGTTTAGGAATCAGTGGATCGCTTAATTGTTACGAAAAACTGTATCTACGCAATGTACCATCAAATATTATTTTTGTGCATAAATATACATATATTATATTATACTATACCTAAGCCTCAAGTACTACTCTCTCTGGAATCTATTGCTATTTACAAACATAATTTTAGTATCTGTAGTCGTCCAGAGAAGTACCTTACTCATTCACTCACTCTTAATTAGGGTGTTAATTAGGATGCATTACTTTAAGAATACGTAAAAGCCAGTGTGTTAATATGAAGGAAATGCGATGCGAAATCAGCCTGCAGAATTTGTATATACAATCCATTTTTTGCATTTCAGTAACTTTGTGTTTTAAGGTTTTGACGAGACGAGTTTGAGAAAAAAAGGCGACGATTTGTTGTATGAAATTCAAAGATTGCAGACAGATTTTAAAAAGCTATTTGTACTGTAATACTTATCCTGTTTTTATTTTCTACTGTGGCTAGCCACAATGTGACATTTTCGATAATCCATTCCCACAGGTTAATTCAGACTTGTATAGATCAATCTGGCGTACATAGTACTAGGGATGCCGCAGACGTCTTCATCTGCATCCGCAGCCGCGGATCATCCTCATATTTTTAAATATTTGCTTCCGCATCCGACATTCAGATCAATTGATGCATAGTTTTTGCAGATACGGATGATTACTTCTGTGAGTGCCACGACAAGATCGTCGGGAGCAGGCCCTAATGAAAGCTCGTGCCGGGTTGTATTTTGCACAAACGGCATAGAATTGGATTTAAATCTTAAGTGTCAAGCTTGACGTGCTCTTGACCCTGTACTAGTGCCAATTAGCCAATAAAGGATCGAGAATTTGGTAGCGTGTAGAGTTGGCAACGGTTTGTTTATTTTCTAAACAAAAATTATCGACTTTATATTGTATTACAAACTTTCCCATTCAAAATAGCCCAGCTCTACTCGTATAAAGGATTTAAAAATTAAGTTTTATATATCGCACTGCTATTACAATAGTTTTGTAACTAAAAATACGTGAAATTCAAGATTATACCATTTCTGAATGTAAAATTTGATTCTCTACACGTTAATAAAACCGTCGTTAGAATGTAGTAAGAAACAATTGAAAGATATCTACTTAACTCTAAATGAGACAAACCCTATGTGAGCTAGTTCTGGACAAAACAGTCTTTACTCAAAAGTGTGAAATTATTTTTTCCCTTTTATTTTTAAATATATTTGGCAAGTAGGAATTGTTTAGATTTCAGAAATAAACTTTAACTTATATATGTATAACTATATATAAGACCCACGTTATGGTATTAGGAAATACATCTGTAATGGTAGTTGTAAGCTTATAGTAATCATAATTTGTTGCATTAAGTGAAACCTGACATGATAGTGTCTTTAAAAAAAAATTATAATCTTTCACAGGAAGTGAGTAATTCGTTTTCCATCGATTCTGAAAAAAATACACTTTTTGAGTTAATACACTATCGTATTAACAGTGCAATATGTCGTAATATTTATATACATTCCATTTTTAATCGCTTTTGTAATAAAATTGCTATCTTCTAAATTTTATATTTTAAATTATAATGATAATTTAATGATCACCAAAATTGTACTATTCTGAAAAAAAAAAAACAACAATTTCTTCATCCGCATCTGCACATTTGAACCATGAAAAATTCGCATCCGAAGCCACATCTGCAGATGTCTCGCATGATCCATTTGCGGCATCCCTGCTTCGTAGGTACATACTTTGTGACGTTACCGAAGAAATTGTAAAAGTACTCCAAGGTTTCCCCGACGGCCTTAAATATGTATGGCGTTTGTGGCATAAACGATTCCCGGACGAATGGCCGGTAAATTTTGTGCCTGCTAATTGGTTGCAGATGTCTCGTATTGTGTCGTCTTACCGCAGCTTTCGTTATTTCGTCGTACTGAAACAATAATAACTTTTTTACTTAGAAAAAATGACTACAAAAGCATAATGTCATTCGGGCCATTCTCATATTCGGTGTTTTCAGCCTAATTACCGTAGCCATTTTTTTTTTCGCTTATTATATCCACTAATATTGAAATATGAAACTTTATATCAATATGTCTAAATGGCATTACAAAAGACAAAGTAGTTTTCGAGTTGTTAACACACAAATATTTTATGGAAACAGTAATTTCCCTCTTCTAATCTAATTACCGTAGGCATGGATACGGTAATTAGAAAGTTTAAACATTTTTAAGAAAAACTGACTATTTCTGACACAACTGAATCATTATTTGTGAATTTGGTTTATTTCTACTGATACAACTGCCATTTAAGATTTAAAAAAATAAATTTAAAGCATTTTTTTTTAATATTTGGTTAGTAATAATGATTAAAAATTATCAAATTCTTTCTAATAATTAGTCACAGTTGTCACGAGGACAGTGTAATATTTGACATTTAATTTAATATTTTGATTATTTCTGCCGATAGAAGTTAAAAAAAAAGTTGTATCGGTGTGATTCATTACAAAAAATGTAGAATATCAAAATCAAAGTTATTTATATGTTGTAAGTTGTTCTTTATAATTTTTGTTTTTATGTTTTCTTAAGAATGTTTGAACTTTCGAATTACAATATCCATGGCTGCGGTAATTGGATCTAAGTACCGTTTCCATAAAATATTTGTGTCTTATTAACTTGGAAACTACTTTGTCTATTCTAATGTTATTTAGACATTTTAATAGTTAAGCTTTCATATTTTAATGTTTTTGGATATAACTGGCTAGAAAAAACAATGGCTACGGTAATTGGGCTGAGAACACCGAATGTGAGAATGGCCGATTTATGACAAGCATGGCAATGCCATACGAACATAGCAACGCGGCTTGTATGTATACTGTGGCCTAGGCTTAGCGAAAAGAAAGAAAGGGCTTAGCCACATAAATTTATTAACAAATAGAAAACGAAAAGGGAAGGCGGTACCAAAAAATAATAAAATGATATAAAAAAGTACAATCAGTATAAAACATTCCCATAGTCCATAAACCGTATAGACACTTACCCCTGGAGGGCGTTTATTAATGATTTAAAAACCGTAACTAACATGAAGTATGAGTTTTACTCGAGGACGATCTATGAGCACGTCCTCTCGTTTTGAGAATTTTGATGGGAGTGATAATGGAACGAACCAGTGTTGCCAGATTTTTGCGATTAATTCGCCAATTTATGGGTGCTAAGTGGCCGATATTCGCCTAAGCCATAAAATTTCTAATAATCAAGGAAAGCAATTTTGTTTGCTTTATTGAGTAGCCTAAAATAGCCTTTTCCTTTTTCAAAAATAGCCTAAATATCGCCGAGTCGCCGATCACATTTTTAATCGCCGTACGAGCCCTCGATGTAGCCTGACTGGCGAAAAATCGCCTAATCTGGCACCAGCGGAACGAACCAATAAGAATAGTGGAAAGAAAAAGGAATTCCAGAACGATTCAAATTTTTAAATGTAATTGGGCCAGGAATCAGTAAAGAGGGTGATAAAAAGGTGGGACGACGATGAAGGATGTCTGAGTACTGTTGTACTCTTGTGATTAACATACGCTATGATCGTTGCATTAGGGAGTCGCTACACTTAACGCACGGTCGGACCGTCTCCGTATCGGCGCGTCGCGTCAGTCGATGCGATCGTTGTAAAATAATGTAAAATCGACATAATAAAAATAAATGGAGAAAAGTTGACCTTGTTAATAAAGCTGTCTTTTTGGGAGTTATCTTAGATAATAAAACGAGGTTTCGACATATATCTTCCTTGGCCAGCAGATTAAGCTCGGTTGCATACGCAGTCCGTAGAATACGTCAGCTTACCGATGTTGCTACTGCTGGACTAGTTTACTTACGTTCATAGTATAATGTCCTACGGGATTCTCATGTGGGGTAAAGCGGCAGATTACGAACCATATTTGTGTTGTAAAAACGAGCGATTCGTTCTGTATACCGTTTAGGTTCTCGGATTTCTATCAGAGAAAAGTTTAAGGAGATTGGTGTCATGACTGTGGCATCTCACTACATTTACTCAAATATTTTGTATGCCCGTAAAAATATACATAATTTCCTTAAGAAAGAACATATCCATAATGTTAACCTTAGAACTAAGTCCAAACTCATGGTACCATGATTTCGTTTAACTAAGGTAAACGATTCTTCAAGGGAAACTGTATACGATTTTACAATAAGATTCCGGAGCATATATTAAGATTAACATTTCCTAAGTCTAAAACTTACCTTAAAAGTATTTTAATTGAAAAGTCAGATTACAAAATTGAAGAGTATTTTTTAAATAAAGAAGTATGGAAAGACAACAAGAGTCTAGATTCCACACAATTATGGTTCAAAGTGTATTCCGTAGCATTTAAGTTTATTTCAAAAGAGCAATCCCTAGAGTTTCTTGCTCGTTCTTCTGAGGGAGGTTAGCGTAGTGAACGAGCACTAGTTTAGAAAATGACATTTACAATTGTAAAAATTTTTAATTTTTTAAATTGTAGACTACGTGTTAAATAAAGGTGTATGGAAGGACAATATGAGTCTAGATTCCACACAAATATGAATCGAAATGTATTCTATAGCATTTAAGTTTATTTGAAAAGAGCAATCCCTAGAGTTTCTTGTTCATTCTTCTCAGGGAGGTCAGCGTAGTGAATGAACAGTAGCTTAAAAATTGACGTTTTGAAGTGTAAACCGATCTATGGAGTAAATGATTATTTGACTTTGGCTTTGAAACACACGACGACATTTTAAGGTGCGTCTACGCTTACGAGCCGAGCACGAATTCGTGTATTGTGGACTGTGTTATGAGCCTCGAACGTTCGGCTCGTGCTCGTTTGTGCTCCGCCATTTGTCGGTTTTTTTTTACAGACACAAAGGCATTCGAATCGCACTCACAGTGCGCTCGTGGACGTGTTTAGTGATAGACCCTTCGCTTGTTCCGAGCATCATGGAAACGTGGTCAGAAGAAGATTGTTTGCAATTAATGAATTGTATCAAAATAATCCAATCGTCTTAGCCTTCTAGATTTTTCACTGATTTCGATTATAATAATCGCTGCAGCAGCAGCCGCAGTAGCTAAATCGTCCATGTTTGCCACGAGTCGCGAGCACACTGCGGAAAGCTCCGTTCGACGACAGTGGTCGCTCATTGTACATTCACATTTGACGTTGCGAACGACGAAGAGCAGAGCGGCTCCGCTCGTGTTCGGCTCGTCTATCGTAGACGCACCTTTAGAGCGCGCGTTTTTTATCTTGTTTAAACTAATTACCTTCGCATTTCGTAGTTTCTGTGAATGTTTCTGTGCCCCGTTTTTTTAACAAAAAATATCCGAAAGTGTGGTACGACTGATTTATTTTATTTATCCTGGTTAGTCTTTTTTTAATCATTCCGAGATTTCAGAGGGAGGTATTATGTTTTCTTTATAATACTTTATATCTATTTATTTTATTTCTTTATATTGTATCTTCTGTATATGTATTAGTTGACGTTTAGGTAAATATACTTTGCCGATTTTTAACTGACTTCACAAAAGGGAGAGGTTCTAAATTCGACTGTGTTATTTGTATGTGTGTTGCGCTATCACTCCGACATTTGTGAACCGATTTCGATGAAAAGAAGTTTGCTGAAAAAGGGTTACCTCAGTAGTATTCCCATTCAAATTTGAAGTAAATATTTCGTCTCTAAGGGTGTCAAATTAGGGGATAATTCCGATTTATTGAATTTCACCTACTTTCCGTAAACCGATTAAAAAAAAACTTGGCAAATAGATGTAATTCCACACTCTTTGGAGGTTGGTTTTTTAACAATGTTTCTGTTAGGTTATTATTGTTTAGATGTGTAAGATTACCTGGTATTCTGTGACATAGATAGGTGTCTCCATAAGGATCCATATGACGACCTCGTTGCACTCTGGCGACGTGAGCGACCCGGCGTACGTGTAGTATGATTTTGAGTTTGCTGGTACTAAGTTTCTGCAAAATTATTGTTTTTAGTGTAGTAGAGGCACAGTGTCAGTTTATGGAATGATTAGTCCTTATGTCATTATGACAAATTGTACACTTACATACGTGTCCTGCATTTCTGTTGCAACAACGAGCGATTCGTTCTGTGTACCTACCGTTAATGTCCTCGGGTTTTGCTCAGTCTTAAAAAAAGTTTAAGGAGATTGGTATCATGACTGTGGCATCACAGTACATTTATACTCAAACATTTTGTATGCTCGTAAAAATATATACATAATTTCATTAAGAAGATATCCACAATATTAATTAACCTTAGAACTAAGTCCAAACTCATGTTACCACGATTTCGTTTAAACTAGGTAAGCGTTTCTTTATGGGGAACTGTATATGTTTTTACAATAAGAATCCGGAGCATGTATTAAGATTATCTTTTCCTCAGTTTAAAAATTACATCAAAAGTACTTTAATTAGAAAGTCATATTACAAAATTAAAGACTACGTGTTAGATAAAGATGTATGGAAAGACGACATGAGTCTCCACACAAATATGATTCAAAGTGTATTCCATAACATTTAAGTTTTGCAAAGAGCAATGCCTGAGTTTCTTGCTCGTTCTTCAGTCAGCACAGTGAACGTGCAGTAGCTTAAAAAATGACGTTTTCAAGTGTAAAAATTTTAATTAAGGAATAAATGTGGTCTTTGAATAAATGATTATTTGACATTGACTTTGATGTTTCGTCATTCTTCTCTCAGTCTTTCTATCCGAACCATCTAAGAATCCTTTTCTCTTTCTAGTCTTACGGTCTGATTCCAGAACTCTACTCAATGCTCAAGTCTTAATTGAATTCAAAGTGGCCAGTTGGTATGTAACAGAGTCAATCCAGAGGTGGCAGCATTACTCCATGCACGACCGGACCTGTGCTTGGTACAGCTGAAGCAACAATTCCGGTGTAAAGTAACGCCTAACCGTGGAAAGGATGCCAAGCTTCCTTGCTGCATTTTTGGCTATTGATTCAATGTATCTGCCGAAGTTCAAATTGGACGACAGGTTCATTCCAAGTAGCTGGAGACAGTCGGCTATCGGTATGGATGTGTGTGTGTGTGAATTGAAATATGTATTTTGAAAATCTACGTAAATGTATACTCACTATTAAACAATAGATGTAGATGTGAATCGTCGCCCTAGTCTTACCGCGTTTGCGCAGTGCATCCGATTCGTACTCGCCACCAACTTCGGATGTCGCTTGTGCACTAAAACCGATTCCAATCCGAATATCGCTTGTACACCTACAGATGAAATGATCCCTGTGACATTTAGGGTCGTCATTACTTGGACACGGAACTGATACGAATCGGTCGTAGCGCGCAAACGCACTTAGGAAGTCATTTATCACACTTTTTATCGAATTGGCTTGAGCCGGTCAAAAAAATTTTATAATAAGGGCGAAACGGACGGTGTCATTTGGCGTCGACGGCGGTCCGAGCGGAACGAAGCATAAAACGTCTGCTTCATTACATGGACATAAAGATTTTTCTGGCTGGTTTAAAGCGATTCCGTGTGGACAAGTGTCCTGACTCCATTATTGTCTAAGAAGACAGAAACAGGATAATTCGAGTGAATTTTACCGTTGTATTAGCAAAGACAGCGGCGGATGTTACAAATTATGACCTTAATGTCTTTAAAATTACATTAATTTCGCTACTGACCCAGTTAGTTAGATCATCACATGCAAAGCGGTTACTTAGTTAACCCAAAAAAACAGAGTAACCGTCCGTTTTGGAACCCGGTTTTTCGGGAACCGAATAGATAACCCAGGTTTTTCGAGATCTTCGTTTTTGTCTTAAAACTACAAAAGCGTAAAGTTGTGGCTACACGGGGGAGGGTAATCTTTGGGTTTTGGGTTTTGGGCGATACCGGGCGGGAGGGATGCGCGAGCAGAATAGCAACAACAACGTAAAAAAATCTTTGTGGTTTGATTTTTGCTTCCTGTACGCGTTGCCGTTTTAGCGACTAACTTACTAGATTTAGGAGAATTTAAGAATGTTTAGCGGGCAAAAATTTGGTTTTAGCGAGAAATCTATTTAGTGACTTATAGCTTCTTTTTGACCCCAGGCTTTTTTCAGAAATAAAAACGAGACCTATCAATCATTGTAAATCAAGTTAAGTAATTGCTAATAATCGTATGCCCGATTTTCAAGCCTAACACTGGTAACACTATGAATAAACATACTAAAAAACTAAGGTAATAAAAATCAGTACAGAGTACTAAAAAAACCGACCTCAAAAGTCATTAATCCCCTGGTTTGCCACCATTAACAATCTTCACATTTAAATGGGACCACATATGAGGTACCTTATTTCCAACAAAAAAAGAATAATCAAAATCGGTTTACAAACAGTTATCGCGTAACATACATAAAAAAACATACAGTCGAATTGAGTACCTCCTCCTTTTTTAAAGTCGGTTAAAAAGATGTTTAATGTTTGTCTATAAATACATATTTATTTTAAAATATTTGTGTTATTGATTTTTTTAATAATAATTCGAGAAGTTATTTGATTTCATTGCTACGAATTTTATAAACAATGAAAATAATCCATAAAACACTGATGTAATGTTTTTTTAAACTTTTGTAGATTTATTTGGGCGGCAATAGCCAAAATATATCATAAAAATAATCAAAATCACTCGGATTTTGCATGCCCTATTAGATATGAGGGGCACAATGAAAGTTTCGCCTTACATTGAATTCAAGAAGTTTCGAACGGAAGTTATTCGAAGTTAGACGTTACATTTTTGTTCCTGTAAACTTTTTGTGGCGACAAACGGTTTAACAAGCGGTATTTACGCTTATAGGCGTAGGACGTATATATCGGTGTAGACGCGACATCGTCGATAACTCGAAGCTGAGGTGGTATGTACACGTCAGAAGATCGCCCGACTTGGAAATGCCGTGATAAATCTGAACAACCCTAGGTCCAGAACACGAGGAAGACCGAAGTTGAGCTGGACAGATCATACTTAATCGCCAAAAATCTAAGGAGTTATCATGTTTCTGAAAACGACATGTTCAACCGAGCAAAGTGGAAGGCTGGTGGAAGGACTGTGTCAGGTTCTACATTCGAAGAACTAAAGACTGTATGACAATGCATTTGACAGTCATTTTTAACCGTCATCCAAAGTGGAAAACGGCAATAACTACGAATTTCGTGCTTCGCTTTCGTGCTCTGAATCCGAAACGTTAGTTTGTTTGAAAAACAGAAATACTTATACGCCAATATAGATCTAAAAAACTACTTTCATTTCCAATCCTATTTAAATCTTGATTAGTAAATATTTTAATAACCATGAGTATAGTAGGAGATGGTGATGTCGTATAGAGATGTGTCTATGAAGATCTGAGCGACATATCTGATATGCTCGTAATTCCCGACATAGGGGCTGTTTATTAATAAGGGTTTGAAGTATTAACATCATACTTAAGGTCGAGTAATATGCCACTCATTCTGTCACCCCTTTGCTTCAATTTAGGGATGTAGTTCATCATGTCGTGTACTAAGCCGTCCAGATCCAGGGACAAGTCTACTTTCACCTGCGAACAAAGTTAGTTAACCAGCTGACATCATCTATCTTAGTAGCAGAGTAATGACCGGTAACTGACAAACGAGTTTTTTTATATGATATCGTGAACAAGTCGTGCGCGTGGTGGTAACCCGCCTGTCCATAACAGTGGCAGTGCCACTCAGACTTTTAAATCGTAAAGCTCCGGGGGGCGCTGCCATTGCGCCCGTCACCATTACACATAAGCTGACAAGTCCTATGTGCCTGTTATTTCACCAGCACCTTTACCCTTCAAAACCGGAGCCCAGTAATGATCACATACTGCTTGGCGACAGGAATAGGAAAGGTGGCAGTAATTCCCTGGACGAACTCTTTTACAAGGAGCTCGATTGCTACTTAATCTATGGCACGACGGAATCAGGAAAAAAAAATTAAAACAACAACTGGATGTAGTTAAGTAAGAAGGATCCAATCACCAAAATTTCAAAATTATCAAAAAATTAGTTATATGTACCAAAAGGTTTCTAAAGTGTAACCAAAAAAAAAATGCAATATATAAACATAAATAAATATCTCTGGAGTTACAAATGACAGTATAAGTTTTGAAAATAAGACAAGAGTGAGAAACACTTTAAACTTTAAACTACCTTATCTCCAAAGCGACTGGATGTGCATTGGATCCTTTTTGTGTAACTACGTCCCACTTATATTCAAAAATATACTTTTTTGTTCTAAGTTTTTGTTGTAGATACTATCTGACATTTTTTTATTTCTATTAAATGAATTCCTACATTATTATATTGACTATGTTAAAATTACGATTAATTTATGATAGTACAAAGCTTGTACTTATGTTTTTAAATGTGACATTTATTACTATTGTAATTTGTAACGATTCTTGTAATACAATTTATTATACTGCTATATAAAGATGTAAAGTTTACAAGACGATAAATAAAATATATGTAAATCTAAATCTATTTGCTAGTAGGTTGTTTCGCCTCTTGTCACCGTTTAGAGCGATCTATTTAAATAGCCATCGCCAGGTGGCGCTGTTACGGCTAACTGCCAAATTTAAACGCTCTGTGAATTTTTAGTATTATTACTAATTTGAACATTTGTAAGTTAACTAAAACGAACGTAATTATTCAGTTGATTACAAGATTAATCAGTGTTGTGAAATACAAAACAAAATAATCAGTGAAAATGGCTTCACAATCGAAAGCTGCCCTTGATGGGTTAGTGGAAGTAATTTCAAATTTGAAATTTTGTTTTTTTTTTGTTTTGAAAAAAAAAAATAAGTGCCTTGAATACATTGACTTATAATTATATGGACGTCGGGTCCGCGCTAAATAGTGTCCGAACTTATAGGGCGTTAAAATCGTATACAGAGCGTCATTCACGCTTTAGTCTTCGTTTGTTCGACTGACAGCGAAGCAAGCAAAATTAGACAGTACTACGATGACATTACAATTTAAATTCAACGTTTTATCTTTTTCATATTTCTTTACATGTCACTACGTTTAAATAGGTTGACTTGGGACATTTTTTTGTGGTTTTTGTATTAGACCCGTCGTCCATTTATTTGTAAGTCAATGCTTGAATATGAAATTAGATAACTGCTACGAAATTATCAAAACCCACAACATACACATACCAACACAAGACGAAAAATTGTCGCAATTAATGAGGAAAATTGGCAATTTGAGCTCCACATCACACGTAATTACAACCAGACGCAAGAGTAAACGCAAATACAAAAATAATAACTGCGTTGCGATTGGCCAAGCCCGAATTCGAAACAATTGACGGGCGTCGTCAATTGTTTCATTACAATCGGCCAGTTAAACTTGAGCTTTGATATAATGGACGAAAATTGTAAAATTACATATTTAATATTTAGTTACTCCTGAAATGTGATTCCGTTTGTTTTGTAATTAGATGTTTTGCTGTTTTTCCTACACCATCGAATGGAACAGCCTAATAAATAAATATAGAATATTTTTGGAATATATGGAGACGTGCACACAGGTCAGTTGTTGGCGCTGTACTATTTCAGCTTTCAGCAGACGAGAGTTGGTATTAAAAATGATATAAAGCCCTTTTGCCTGATGAGTCGTCAGGGATGGACGGATCTTAATTCGTCTCTACTTCTGGTTATATACTCGATAAAATAAATAAATAAATAAATAACGCACACACTCAACATAGTCCCGCACGAGGGAAACCCTGTGTCGCGGGTGCCATGGACACACATATAAACAATCACAAATTACACCCAAACTCACGAGAGAAATAAATGTAGGCCATACAACTATTTCTCCAGGCCCGAGAATCGAACCTGGGACCTCTGCGTGGCAGTCCGGCATGGTAACCGTTCGGCCACGGAGGCAGCTACCTAAAGGGTAATAGTCTTCTATGTGTTCGATCTTTGCTACTAATAGTTACGATTTTGTATATTGTAAAAGTTAATTTAAATGCTTCGTAAAATTACAAATAACATTGTAAACGTTATTTTTTCCGCAATTTTATATTTAATAATTTCGTAAATCCCGGTTTATTGTATTTTTTCATATGAAAGCTTATTTCATGTTAGCGAGCTACCGAATTGTAGGTTAATAAGTGCCATTTATTCATTGACTTACAATTATATGGACGTCGGGTCCGCGCTAAAAAGTGTCCGAACTTATAGGGCGTTAAAATCGTATACAGAGCGTCATTCACGCTTTAGTCTTCGTTTGTTCGACTGACAGCGAAGCAAGCAAAATTAGACAGTACTGCGATGACATTTAAATTCAACGTTTTAGCTTTTACATGTCACTACGTTTAAATAGGTTGACTTGGGACATTTTTTCGTGGTTTTTGTATTAGACCCGTCGTCCATTTATTTGTAAGTCAATGATTATACCATACCCATTGACATGGGCCGCGACTCTGAAGTAAAACAGTCGCTTAGTGGAAAATGCATTTAAGCATCTGATTATTCGACCACCATGTATTACATTACACTGTCGCGTGACATCACAATATTGTAATATTACTCGTATTAAATAGTGCACCACTTACTTTGCAAAATATAGCTATTATTGCCAATCCATCTGGGGTTTTAAGCGCATCTTTCACGGTCAGATCCGATCTCACATGTACTAAATGGATTTCCATGGGGAACCTGAAATGTGGGTAATAATAATTATTGTTTATTTCAGACCCTTAGGGGTTAGTAAAAAAAGTAGTACGTTTTGGTGAAATTACAAAGAGTGTCAACTTATTGTCTTAAGAGGGAGAATGCCAAAAAAATTTTGACGTTGGCTCCGCCCACATTTGTGAGACAAATATATGCCTGCAGTTCGCGTGACATGCGATAGGAGATGTTGAATTTTGCGCATTAAAAGTACCAAATTCGTTTTAGCGGAATAACTCTAAAACTAAAGGGTTTAAAAAAAATCCGTAGTGACAGTTCTCGATCATGCATAAATATAATTAATTATCTAATTTTTGTCCTAATAACCTGTAGCATTTCGAGGATGAATCGAAAAAATGTGAAAATTAGAGGTCATTTCGTGATTTTTGTCTATCGAGGAAACTTTATTGTTTTATGTTTCTGGTTAGTGTCTATGCTTGAATATATCGTGTAGTTACTCATACAATATTTTATTTTTAACTTTAAAGTGGATATACCCTTCTAAAATCAAATCGAAGATTAGGAATTTTTCCTCTGCTCCCTCTTAAGGTGATAGGCGCAGCGGCAGTGTCGCTCGTAAACATACTCGATGCTCGTAAGATCTGAGTGTTAGTGCAATTGCTATGGATAGGCGTCTCGGTTTACACCAGACGCGCGACTTGTTAGCCCCATCTCTTAGTATTATAAAAAAAATAGAATACTTACTTTAGTTCCCGTTATGTTTCGTGCTTGTTTTGTATTAAGTGACGGGTTGAATAAGACGTGTGCCTCTGGTGATACGTGACACGTCTATTCATAGTTTCAGTGCCACTCAGAATTTAAATCGCAAAGATCACTGCCACTGCGCCTATCACCCAGACATAAGTTGTCCCATGTGTTTGTAATTTCACTATCCTTCACAACCGGAACGCAGTAATGCGCATATTACTTGGCGGCAGAAATAGGTAAGGTGGCAGTACTTCCCTGGACGAACTCTTTCACAAGGAGCTCTACTGCTACTAAAAAGCCTGTTTCTTTAAATTTTTTTATTGTGAGGTCGTTGAAATTGATGAAGTACGTAAAGGTAAAAATTCTTTAGTGAGTTTGCGAGTTTTGTTACGCGGATACAAAATGACGGAATGAAATGGCAAAACGAAGTCTAAATTAGCGATACAGCTCATTGCTATTAAATTTCCTTTTGATCTTAAAATTGGACCAGTGAATTTATACTTGTTATATGTACTTGTTTCCATCAATAGTGTGCTCCGAAAGCCAGTGAAAATGAACTTGCTCTAGCCTGTACATGTTCATGAGTGGGCCTCCCGTCATTCGTGGGTGCATGTCTTTGTCGCCTTCGCAACTGAATTGAACTGGAGAAGAAATAGATGTGTTAACGCAAAAGAACTCTGGCGCCCCTGGGCCGCCCGCGCGCCTCTCACTCGATTAATAAGATGTTACCATTAATTATCTTCGCAGTTAGCTAGCTCTTTTATAATTATTATTTACTACACTAAAGTTTTCTCCATACAGAAACAAGTAGTATACTGGATTAACTATAAGACCACTGGCTGTGTATGACATGCATTATAATGCCAATGAAAAAAAAAAACTATTTGTTTTTGGCCCACCTTTCCGGCTTTATATCCTTTATTTTTTTCCATCCTCTATGATTTGTATACACTTGTTAAAACAAAAGAAAGTCACGTAGTAAAAAAGCGCATGTGCAAAAGACCCGCCCTTTCCCATCGATATGAAAGTATGTATGTACACTATGTACATTAATAAAATTTTAACCTGATATTTAAAAGTGGTTTTCATACTTCAGATGCGGCCACAACTTATAAAAGTTTCATCGGATGAATAATAATTTATAATAATAATTTAACTTATGCGGGACAAAAATACAAATAAACAAATAAGATCGGGAAAATAATAAGAGGTTACTACGCCAAGAAAATGAGACAGAAGTACTTGACTCCCAGGTCATGAAATTAATATAAAAAATCTGTAAGTGTTGGCGATTTAAAATAATAATTGGTAAATTGATTCCCAAATCAAATGATTGTGACGCCGATGGCGGCAAATTAGTGGCTATTGTTCGACGTGGCGGGGACTGAAAGGTGATTGGGGCAAGTGTTGATGTGTAAAAATCCAAAATAAGTAAGATCATTGACTTTATCTCGCAAATAAACGAGCTGTCTACTAGGACCGCAATATACACGTCGCAGAGCGGCTTTTACTTTGCACTCAAGGAAATATTCAATTTATTTAGTACAAATGAAGTTCTATGTTGCATTGTTTTCAACGCAGCTCTACGTCACTCAGTGGCTTTCTATTTTTCAAAGAAATATATCCTATTGTTGAGAATCTAAGTTACACCTGCCCCCCATAGCATGGCTACGCATGATAGTAGAGATAAAATTGGATGGATGGAAGCGCGCGCTATTGGCTGTCTCAATCAGGGGGCCTACCGTGACCTTTCCAAAATCAATCTATTTCAATGTAAGCTTAAAAAAAGCCTATTATAATATATTACTCATATTCGTACCATGACAAATCTGTAAACAAAGTAATGTGTTATTGCAAAAGTGATTGAAAGAACCAAAGGTAAGAACGAATGATTTCCCTATATTGTCTATTCCTTACTAAAAATAAGAATGGAAATGACGGTATATGAACTATATAATGTCCTCTTTTTCTTTTTTGATGTTCCGAATCAAAAAAGTCTTATCGTAGTGTAATGTTTATTCAGAGAATTTTGACTGTTAAAAAAAGAAAAGTGTATGTAAAATCTATTAAAATTACGTTGTTTTCAATAATTATTCCGCGTTTTCATGAAGAAAAATAAATAAAACAAGCTGAGTCTTGATAGTCACGTTGTGAATTCGGAATTATAGTCTAGTCTAGTCAACTGTTAGTTTCGCCAAGGAGCCTATAGATGGCGCTGTCATAATTTTATGAAATAAACATCGCGTATTTTTATTTAAAGAAAAATTATTTCCTATGTGCTATTAAATAAAAAATAAACAAGATATTAAAAAGATATATGTAAATAAATAAGTTCAATTTAACTTTTAATCATTACAAATCAATAAAACCGAAAATAATATTGTGCATCCGTGTAACTATTTTAAGATTGCTAAATTGCAAAAAAGATATTACTTACTGGTATGTCCGTTGTGTACAGCCGTCAAGAGTACCCTCTGATATCCAATGAACTGTAGCTCTCCATATTTGATGAACTTATTTTCATAGTCCATTGGAACATTTTCTGTCTGAATGTCTATAGGGGACTGTAAGTAACCTCCTTCGGTGCACTTACGCCCCGGCCATGATAATTGATCTGGAATTTAGTTTTTATTTAACATAATATATCTAATATCGTTTGTTGCAAACATGGTATAAATAAGACACTTGAAAATATAATATGATGTGGACACTGACAGGGTATAATAAATTGTACTTAAATCTAGTTTGTATAATAATTAAAATCGTTTGTTTTTTCTCTCTCCTTCTGGACATAATGTAGTATAGGTAGTATTCTAGCCTTCTAAGTTCCAGCAAACTGCAATGGGAAAAGCGTTGAACGGCCTTATGCATTAAAATATATTAAATATAATTACATGTTATAGCACCCAGTTACACGAGGCGAAAATTTTCGCGCGACCGCCCAGTTATCACGCCTTCATGTACGTTAATGGCGAATTATATTTACTAGACAACAACCTATTTATATGTTCTGCGGCAACAACATTTAAATTCCTCTGAATAATACAACCGCGCGGTCGCCGGGCGGCCGCCGCGTAGACAAAATTGCCTCTGTACCAGCAATGGAACTGTCTAAAGGTACTAGGGTAAAGAAAGGCTCAAGCAAGTATGCTATCGCTTTTGTATGAAAATCATATTTTTCTGGATTCCCTATGGATATCATAATAGCGCTGAATTTGTACAATGTACACTGGATCGTGGACATGATCGTGGGAATAATATTGTCTGATTGTCTGGGTCTGTACACAGGGCCCCAGGTTGGGAGACAAGAGCTCAACGTATGTTATTTAGACATGTGATATGAGTCTCTTAGTCTCTAGCACCTTACTACATTACAAATATTAGTTTTTTATCGATGGGTTTCGGACAGGCGTGTTTGCGTGCGTGCATGCATGCGTGCGTGAGTATATGCATGCATGCATGCGTGCATGCGTGCGTGCGTGCGTGCTCGCTACAGCTACTGGAAAATCATTTTATGGATGGACTAAATACGTAGAGCTTACGTAAAATATTTAAAATAAATTTTGTCATGATGATCTGAATATTTCATTCTTAGGCTTGGTATTTTGTCATCTCACCCTTATACTCTCACCTTCATACGTCCAGAAAGGGGTGACATTTCCGTCACTCATCACGTTTATTGCAGTTTCTGAAACTAAACATTGAAATTCGCAGGTTAACCGAGCAAGACAGCGCAGCAGCTTCGATATTCTCTTTCCAGCTCAAATTTTGCTGTATAAACAACAATTGTGTCTATTAATTATCTGTCAAACTTTTGACAGTAATTCCGCTTAAGCCCCTTAGAGGATGAAAAAAAATATAAGAAAGGAGCTGCGCTATCTACGGAACAAATACGCCAGCATAAACCAAAATTGTACACCACAAATGGCGGATTTCTTTAGTGTTGTACCATAATCATCGATAAGTCAATACCGACATGCAAATGTATGGCTTCAATGTTGAACTGTTTTTTATGTTTGTAATTTCTATAGTCTACTATAATCAAAGTATGATTAATAAATGTTTAATTAACGTTTGTCAATATTCCATTTGGGAATGTTTTATGTCATATGAGATTTTGAATATATTATTTTGCATTTATAAAAGCTCACATATTACGAAAAGTGTATTTGTACAGAACAAATGTAATAAAAAAAATTAAGAAATATTTAGTATTAAGTATTTTGTATTACGCAGTAGTAACTACGTATTGCAGTATTTTCAGTAAACGCTTCTCTCCCACATACTCCCAACACACTCACATCTAATTCACCAACACTATAACATACTCTCAAAAACAAAATGTAGGCCAATAGCATCGCGTCTTTGATATAGTACAAATATGGAATTTCGAAAAAATAAAAATAAAAGAAACTTGACAGTAATGCGTTCAAGCTTCAAGCTTACAGTAGAAACTGTGGTTTACACAGCGTGAGCTGGAAAGACAGACTCGCCTAACCACGTTGGCTGGTAGGTAGGTGGTTCAAAATTATTACAATTCACTGTTCTTAATTTAAATAAATAAATAAATAGCGCTCATACTCAACATAGCTCCGCACTAGGGAAACCCTATGTCGCGGGTGCCATGGACACACACATAGACAACCACAAATTACACCCAAAACTCACGAGAGAAATAATTGTAGGCCACACAACTATTTCTCCCGGCCCGGGAATCGAACCTGGGACCTCTGCGTGGCAGTCCGGCATGGTAACCGTTCGGCCACGGAGGCAGTTAAAAAGGCTGTAATTACGTCTTGTGCTAGTGAAATTATAAAATCAAAATCAAAAATCAAAAATCAAAATAATCTTTATTTCATAGGTAAGCATTATTACACTTGAAATCGTCACAATGGTTAAACTCTACCGCTCATTCGTAAGGCAGATTCCCCTGAGAAGAATGAGCAAGAAACTCTAGGGGTTGCTCTTTGTAAATAACATTTACAATATTTTTTTATTTGAAACATCAGATTGAGACTACCTCCATGAGCTAAACGGGTTACTACCACGGATTTTTGTCATCCAAGTACGCAGAAGTTGTATAATAACCTTTAGTATAAAGTTTTTGTTTCACTATAGTTTTAAACCTCGTGAAAGGCAAATTTTGTATATCAACCGGAATCTTGTTATAGAAGCGTATACATTGCCCCTTAAATGATTGTTTGACTTTGTGAAGACGACTATCAAGAAAAGCTAGTTTATTTTTATTCCTCGTATTAATGTTATGTCTGTCACTATTTTTCATAAAGAAATTACTATTCCTTTTAACATAAATTATATTTTCATAAATGTATTGTGAGGCTAGTGTAAGAATGTTAATTTCCTTAAACTTATCTCTCAAAGATACTTTGGGGCCCAGATTGTAAATTGCCCTAACTGCACGTTTCTGCAGGACAAAGATTCTATTGATATCGGCGGCATTACCCCAAAGCAAAATGCCGTATGTCATTAGACTGTGAAAGTAGCTGAAGTAAACCAATCTAGCGGTTTCGACGTCTGAAAGTTTCCTTATTTTTTTAATCGCGTACACTGCAGAGCTGAGCCGTTTTGACAACTTACTTATATGGGGACCCCATTGCAATTTAGCATCTAACGTTATACCTAGAAATACAACTGTATCCACAAGATTCAATTTTTCGTTTCTAACTACAATGTTTGTAACCGTCTCTCTAACATTGGGTAATGTAAATTTCACACAATTTGTTTTTTTCTCATTAAGAAGTAGGTTATTAACAGCAAACCAATCAACTACTTTAGATATAGCATTGGATTAGATATAGCTTTACATATAGGCATATGGGATTTGTCAGTGCCCCTTAGATCTTGTGATTTAAAGCTCTCAGTGGCACTGCAACTGTTATGGACAGATGTGTAGCTTACCATCAGGCGTCATTTGACATTATGAAAAAAAAAATGTTCACTATTTTTGTTTTTGGTTACTAAGGACTTTCTTTATAAATAACTGAAAGATTTCTGTCTATTGTCCCGCTAAGTAATGTACACATTCTGCCCAACTTGTTTAGGAAATTATTCTCTGCATTAATAGTTATAAATAGGAAATGAAACTATTTTTTCACATCTAAATTGTGTATATTTGTTTTTTCAAACGAACCTTCGTTTCGGGTCCTTTACAGTACGACTTGAAGCGCGACATAAAACGCGATATACTGCTATTCTCGCACTGAGATCTCATGCTTTATGTCGTTCTGGCGCAAGTCGCGCCCTATCGTGCTAGGCTTATTGGTCACGACTGACACGAAAAATACTTCCCTTTCCTATGTGTAACAATCACGACAACCTAAGCACACTAGAAGTAGTTATATTTGAATAATTCTGCTGGCAACACTGACTGTTGTTTGAAAAAAAAAACAATGCACGCGATCTGAGAAAATACTTTCATTTGCAATTATGGAAATGAGAAACTAAAGGCTGCTTCTGTAACTCGCTTATAACTAAACTTACCTAAAGTGAAGAAGTGTATCAATAAACAATTTAGAACCATGTTATTATGTTGACGGAAACACGAACAATCCTAGATCACGTCTAATTAAAAAGAAACACTGAATAATCAACCAACCACTAACCAATTGCAGAAAATGTGAAATGAAGTATTAAAACAGTTTACTTTTATATGAACTCTCGCCTCTGAATTGTTGTAATTACATTGGTATCGGGTTCAGGATGTTGGTCCATTCTTTTTATAACATCTCCGGTTAAAATTTTTAACAAATATTTGTGTTTTCTTATTGCGAGTGATATGGAATCAAACCAATCAAATATGTCGTTTTTATAATGCAAAGTGACGGGACGACCAAGTCCTATGCCTGGTGGTAAGCGACACACCTGTCTATATCATTTGCAGTGCTCTGAGCTAATCGCAAAGATCTGGCACTGCCACTGCACCCGTCATCCTGACACTTAATTAATAAATACTATTTATTATAGCATTCATTATAGCAAAGCTCAAGGTAACTGGTCGAATTGAAGTGAAACAGTTGACGACAGCCACTGACGACACCCGTCAATTGTTTCGAACTCGGGCTAGCCAATCGGAGCGCAGTTGTGACAGTAATGATATAGCAGAATTGTTTTCAAACAAATTAAATGACATTTCGTCTCTATTTCTGGTTGTATCTCGATGGTTGGGTCCCTGGCCGCATACCTTCTTGTTTTGTCTTATATCTAATATAGAAATAGAAATAGAAACTATTTATTGTAACGCCACATTATAAAAAGAAACACAAAAACAAAGACTAATATAACTAAAACAGAAATAACACAAAGAACAGCGTAAAAACATTTCAACAACAAGTTGCATAATACTATACTGACATGTGTGCGGCTGTGGCGTGTACAAAAGGATCCCATTCAGCTAAAGTAACAACCAAGGCTAGGTTGTGACGCTGGTTTTCAATGGGCCCTAGTATACTCCTTGCGCACTTTCCGTCTGCGTCTCAATTTCTAGGCACCCCCTCCGCTCACCTGCGCTACATTAGTAATTTTTATTTTCATTTTTTTAAAACCGGAACTCATCAATGCTCATATTATTACTGCTTGGTGGCAGAAATAGATAAGGTGGCAGTACTTCTATGGGCGAACTCTTTTACTAGAATCTCTACTGCAACTAAACTTCTTTTGTTGTACTGGCACAGAGTTATCGCCGTTTAGATATTTTATATATATCTTATTTTTAAATATATCTATTTAAATGTCTCTGCCACCAAGCGCGGTCCGTTTAAGGGTAAGGGTGCTGGTGAAATTGCAGGCACGTGGGACTTGTAAACTTATGACTAAGGGTGACGGGCGCAGTGGCAGTGCCCCTCAGAGCTTTGTGATCTTAAAGCAGGGAGTGGCGCTGCAACTGTTATGGACAGACATATGGCTTTTTTATAATATCTAATGACGGGACGAACAAGTCGTGCGCCTGATGGTAAGGTACACGCCTTCAGCCTTTGACTTGCTGTGGTCCTGTCAGACGCCATTTGCATCTTCGATGTTCGTATAGTAATTAAAAATTATAAACTATAAAGCTAATTGAAAATATGTCTTGTGAATAATTAGACTGTTATCCGCGAATTGCTCGGGGTCCCACTTTTTTATATACATTTAATTAAAAGAGCATGATTATTTTCTAGTATGTTGCCGCACACAGTAGCACCATTGTGAATGTTAATATTAAGTCTAATAAACACTCTTTCAGGAACTGAGTTAATTTTTTTTTAAATTTATTAAGGCTTTGGCAAAGCTATCAGCCTAAACATGAAGTTTAATTAAGTTTCTGCAAATATGGCCGCCACAAAGAGGATAGGCAATTTGAGGCGGCGTGTTTGGATTGACTCGGGATTCCTTAAAACGGGCCGATACGGGTATTTTAGTTCGAGATTCGTATAATTTCGCGTTTTAATCTTCGATTAAGGCACACTAGCGCAATCCTATTCCACTTTTAACAAGATTTCACAAATAATTGAAAGTCAAAATAAAAACGACACTTTTCCCTCCAAAATGCCCAGAGCGAATCCCCCTGAGAATATTGATTCGGAAATAAATGGAAATAGTAAGTTTTATTTAAAAAAAAATTAAGACTGCTTGAATATGTGCCATGTTGTGGCAATTAATCTATTTTAATTTTATTGTTATTGTTACATACCTACAGTTGAGACGTCCATTTTGTGCAAGTATTAACCAAACAAGTGGAAAAATTTATAAATTTTCTCTCTCCAAAATTAATCTAAGATAACGTACCACACGCTCTAATGAAATCTGTCGGCTTTAAAATGGCACTGCAGCTTGAATGCAGAACATCATTCTATAAAATTCAAGTAACTAATGGCATCTGGTCTAAATTTGAAATTTAAATTTTTTTTAAATGTATTAAAAAGGCTTTAACTCACTTCTTCCCATAGTCCGTCTCTGATTAGGATAATATTTTATAGGTAAGCAAATCACACTTAAAATCATCAAATTAATTAAATAAAAACAAGTAAGAAACAGTAGAGGTTGTTCGTTATAAATAGACACTTGTTCATATATAACGTCGGTCTTTATTTAGGTCGTGCGGGAGGTTTGTTATGAAAGCCTATTTTGAGCGTTTTCAAAAGCTGTTTCAATGCTTTTGAGGTAACACTTTTCAGTGAGTCACAGTTTTCTGTGGCGCTTTGTAAATAGAGACGAATCTCTATTCATCGCTATTTACGTAAATGAGAGTTACTACACATATTTAAGAGTGGATAGTACCTCAGCTCGAATTCAAAATTTTCGCGTACCAATACGGTTCATTTTATATAATATGGTTTGTGTCGATCGGCAGGGACACTGGCTTTCCGGGCGGCGTCGTGGTGAATGTTCACTGATCCCACGGCGCCGACTCAACCGGCGAGAGGGAAACCCGGGGGGTTTTTAGTGGAGTAGGCCCTCCAGTCTGGAGGGAGAGTCCCCACATAACCCCTGAGTGACCCTGGGCTCAGGGGTATCCATAAACATATTACCCCGCCAAAAAAAAAAAAAAAAAAAGGGACACTGCCTTTATTTCAGAATTTACTTGCAAACGAAAGTAAAGCCATTTGAAAAATGTAAGGTCAGGGGTAAGAGGAACACCGGGGGAAGAGGGACAAAAGTCCATAATACCTAAAATAAAGCGTTTAGTACTATAGTCTCTCAGTCGATAAAACAGACAAACAAATTAGTTTTAACGGTTGTAAAGAGATGTCGCTACGATGTTCCAAATTTGAGGGAAAGAGAAAACAAAACACAACAAGACAAAACAGTTGTGGTCTGAAAACACGAGATGGGCGCGTAAATTTTTTCTTGGCTGGATCTCGGTGAAAAAAGTGATGGAGATTATTTTTATACAAAAACACGTAGAGAAAACGGTAAGTTTTACTTGTTATTAGTTATTTCACATCAAAAACAATAAATATACGATACGAGTTTAATTGGAATCAAAATCCTAACCGCCATATATATATATATATTATTATTTGTTATATATATATATATATATATATATATATATATATATAGTACAAATCATTATATATATATATATATATATATATATATATATATATATATATATAGCAGCAAAATTCTGGTAATGCCTACATTTTTTTTCAGTCAGGAATTTTTAGAAAATTTAATATTTTAGTCGAAAGCAAAAAAAAAAGTTACATAAGCTCTAAAATAATGACGTAATCTAAGAACAAATCCAAAAATTGCACATTAGCTACGTGGTCACACTACCTCTATACCAAATTTCAATTGATTTAGTGGAACGGTTTTCAAAGTAGAGTGGCTTTGGTGGCTAGAGAACAATAAATTTTGTTAGAAGTATAAATTTCTTTTTGGATCAAACATTGTTTTTTCTATTATGACGATATTTAAAAAGTACTTAACGTATTGATTTGTAAACGAGTGGTTAAAAATGTGCTTTTATTACGATTTGTATCAAAAATATATATCCTGTTATGTACAGGCGTGTTGCTTAACATCACGCGCACGACTTGTTCGTCCCGTCACTTGATGTTATAAAAAAAAACAGATTCGCTTTTTTTTATTTGTCACCCCTGACCTTAACCTGTATGTTCCTCTTGTCCCAAAATTAGTTTTTTTGATAACTGTACGTTATTTCAATGGTTTTAAGATCAAATTCGATTGAAATAGTTTTACTGAGGAATTAACTACGGGTATATTTAAATATACATTGTATTTATATGAAATACGATGACCCTCTTACCGCATTTTTTAGGGAGAAACATTAGCACAACCAGGAAAGTTTTTGTCAGATACATAGTAAATATTAATTTTAGCGTAATGCTTGTTAAAACATGGAACCACAGACCACATATGGAAAGCTGATAAACCAGGGCAAGATTAGAGTATTTCGAAATTCGTATAAGACATTATTTATTCCTCCTAGAGCTCATGACATTTGTTTCGAAATAAAATATGTTCCTCTTACCCCACCTGACCTTATATCGTATACTGTACGTGTTTTATGTATTTAGTTCAGTTGATAAAAAAAAAGAAATTTGGTACATGAAAACGCACGTTCGGGAAACGCGCGATTGCATCGCTTCATGTGAACAAAAAAACATTTAACTTTCTTGGGTTAACAATCGACAAGAACCTTAACTGGAAGGAACACATCGAACAGATGTGCATGAACCTAAACAGATTTGTTTACGCTTTACGAAGACTAAGGCAAACTGTCTCGCGAGAAGCTGCGTTGTCGGCCTATCACGGCTACGTTTCGCCCGTGCTCAGCTACGGTCTTGTACTATGGGGTAACTCAGTAATCTTAGAAAGAGCGTTTAAAGTCCAGAAGAAGTGTATTCGAGCAATTTGCGGTGCGTGGTTCGATGACAGTTGCAAACCGCTGTTTAAAAGGCTGAACATATTACCTTTGCCATGCATGTACATTAGGGATATCTGCGTATTTGTCAACTCTCATCCTCTAGAGCAAAAATTATAAATCTCTTATACCAACCTCGTTGCCATAAAGTAATTTATAAGAATAACTGCTTCAACATGTGTATAATTATTTACAATAAATTACCAAACGAAATTAAATTGTTACAAGGACATACTTTTAAATTAAAATTGACAAAATGGCTTTTGACACATTGCTTCTATAGTAATAAAGAATACTTAGAATTTACAAATTCATTACATTAATTAGAAACTATAGAGACTAAAGAAACATTGAATCCCACTAATATTTGCACATCTGCTTGCAGGTTGAATACAATGTACCTAATTTTACTTAAGACCTTTGTAATTACTGTATTCTGGCAAATAAACGTATTCTATTCTATTCTATTCTATTCAAAATTCATGTGAATCACTGGTCTTTCAACCTTTTTCTATCATTCCTCTAAATATATCCACGAGTATTATATGGCTGCAAATATTCATGTGATGCAAACATGAACTATGTATCTCGTCCGTACACTCAAACAACAGGAAGTTGCTAAACAAGTCTCAGTCTTAGCTAACGGTTTAGATTTCCTAGATAATCCTCAGTGAGGGTCTGTGATAGGTCTATTATCTCATTGCTTGGATCACGATACGTCACGTCTAGAATCTAGGCTGAAAATAACCGAGTACTTCCTATCATGCGTTTGGAACGACACTTGAGGGCATTGTATGCAAATGTGTGATTTACGAGTACATTTGCAGGAAACAAATGTGAAGAACATGTTAGACAACATGACGATGATTTAACTCGTTCATGGCCAGTTCTTAAATGGTACCGCACTACAAAATTTACTTTTTTTTGAGCCGTTGTGCTTAATTGATTCAATATAATAATTTCGTTTTTTTTATATAATATCAAGTGCCGGGACGAACAAGTCGTGCGCGTCATGGTAAGCTACACGCCTGTCCATAACAGTTGTAGTTGCAGTTGTTGGTGAAATTACAGACATATGGGATTCGTCAAATTATGTCTCATGGTGGGCAGTGGCAGTGCCCCTCAGATCTTTGCGATTTAAAGCTCTGAGTGGCACTGCAATTGTTATGGACAGGCGAGTTGCTTATCACCAGGCGTACGACCTGAACGTACATACGTACGTATCATAAAAGAAAAAAAAAATTAAGATCCTACTTAATAATGTTCCATGCATGATTGCCATTTGATTGAACAGCGTGGACATTTATATGGTCGTTTACTGAAAAACTAAGTAAGACCAAATGAACTTGTGCATTTTTTCAATATGCAAGTACTCTAAACCTGTCCAAGTGTCCCCAATTTTAATTTTAACACGTTCCCTGTGTAACTGGAAATCAAAAATTAACACCTCGTACAAATTTTTTATTTTGCAAATACGTTGAAATTGGTATTTAATACATTTATGCATGCAAAAATCATTTTCATAAATCCCCTTCCCATTTTCTCAAATTTCCCAAGTGCCCCACATGTGATATACGCACGTTTGAGTTCTTTACTTGGTGCTACATTAATGGTGCATGCACGTACTAGTTCTTATTTTGTGTTTTATTTTGACAGTAATAACCTGGCAATTTTGGTTAAAAAGTCGTCTGGTACTGCATGCCAATTGTCACAATTTTTGTGGTCCATACGTGCAAGTAAATAACGCTCACAAACGCTCACAATCAACATAGCCCCGCACTAGGGAAACCCTGTGTCGCGGGTGCCATGGACACACACACAGACAACCACAAATTGCACCCAAACTCACGAGAGAAATAAATGTAGGCCATACAAATATTTCTCCCGGCCCGGGAATCGAACCTGGGACCTCTGCGTGGCAGTCCGGCATGGTAACCATTCGGCCACGGAGGCAGTTATATAGTAAATAAAGATGATCTAACTTACACGTGCAAATTTTGTTTAACGCTTGAATTTGTAAAGGGCCATGTCTCATAAGTGATGCACTCACCTATCGTTTGGACCTCGAAATGCACCATATATGATGCATGCACAGGAAACGAGGTAATTGTATTCAGCAGTAGTAGAGCTTCTTGTGAAAGAGTTTGTCCAGGGAAGTAGTGCTATATTACCTGTTTCTGCCACCAAGCAGTAACGTGAGCATTACTGTAATATGGACGCATTAATGCGAGCTCTAATGTCCACAATCAGTTCAGATATGTGACTCGATTACTCAACAGTGTGTAACCAAATCTATTTTAAACCTTTGATGAATGGACTCTGAATCAACTGACAAAGTCGTCATTCAAAATGCTGTGTCAACTTCTATTCATTCAAATTGCCCCAAGCGGGATGAATGATATCAATGAACTGGAGGGAGTGTCACCGACGCAACATCGTATATCATGTCAAGTTTTAAATGTGATATGTACAGGATTCATCTCTCGGTTGAATAATTAATAGATTCAGGCGTTACTTTGCTAAAGTCCATGTTAATAAAAATGGAAGTAAATTAGTTTGCTATTCCGCGAACCCAGTCCAGGTTAAATCGTGCAAAATGGCTGCGCTTGTGTTGAATATTTTTTCGTACAGTTAATTTTAAATTTAAAAAAATTCAAAAAAGAATCAAAATACAATTCAACACAAGCGCAGCTATTTTGCACAATTTAACCTTCACTGGGTTGAATGATACAGTCAGAACACTAGCCTTAAAGTAAATATTATTTCTTAGATCGGTGGTTAATTATTACTTCAATCAATTCATCAATACATTTTGGAACACATTTCAGTTTTTAATTCTAGCAGTAAGCATAAAGTATATATATATTTATTAAGAGATATGTTGATTAAACGGTAATAAGTACTTTCACCTAATAATAATATAACTAAAAGTTATAATGCAATAGTAATGTTTTATTACAAAACTTTAATATTATATAAGTCTTCCTTTCCTGGTGAAATGATACGGCATAAAAATGCTTAAAGAAAGAACAATAAGTCTTCTCAAAATTATCTTAAACAGAGGAGCTTATAAGTAATAGTGATATTAATTTACTTTTTGAGACCCAATCATTCTTTTACACATTATTATAGGATATAACAAAATATAGTTTGTCATAATGTAATGACACAAAACATAGTTAGGTCAATGTTGTTAACTGAAATCTCTGTTGCTAACCGCTCCCTGAGTGGGCAGCTCGTCTCAAGTAGCCAATGAGTCGTTTTTGAATTATAGTCCCTCTCCAATGACACAATGACGCAATTTCTTTATTCTTTATTTTAATTAATTATACTTAAAAGTCGATGTCGCTCAAAAAATCTTAATAGTTTTTAAGTTGTTTCCTGTTATTACGTTATTTTTGGAATTTTTGCACTTACGTCATTGTCGTTCTATAGGCGCGAATGTGAAATTCTATAGCTCCTCTATTTAAATATAAAAAATTGGTGAAATATCAGGCGCATGGGACTTGTCAACTTATGTCTGGGGGTGATGGGCGCAGTGGCAGTGCCTCTCAGATCATGGCGATTTAAAGCTCTGAGTGGCACTGCAACTGTTTATAACGGTTTTGTTCGTCACGTCACTGGATATTACAGTTGTCACTTTGCATGCAATGTTATATATCACGTACTATACGATGCTCTGATTCCAAAATAAATAATTAAATCACTTGTGTTACGGAAAATGGAAGCAACAACGATACCACAAACACCCAGACCGCAGACAATACAGGAAGTTAGTTTCCTACATTGACCCGGCCAGGGATCGCACCCGGGACGTCAGAGACGGCGACACTATGACTTACTTATATTTTTCTACTTTCTTTTTCTTTCTCTCTTAATAAAGATTTAAATTGTAATATTCAATTCATCTCACGGGGCAAGTATTGAGCATAGGATAATAAAAGAGAGCACAAGAATTGTCACTAACGGCATATAATAAAACACGGTTCAAAATAGTATTTTAACATTTATAGGTTACATACTAAACGCATTAACTTTTCTACAGATTACTATTCTTTCTAAAATACTTTTATCTTTATTCCCATCATTTTATTCCAATACCTTTGGGATCTTTGTTTTTTCACATGTCAGCGTCGTATTGGCAAAATTATTTTTTTGCTAGAGTAAGTAAATGTATTAAAACTAGTTATTATAAGAAAATTTCAACTGGGGTTGTAATAAATGCAATTTATGAGACGACTTTTAAAGTTAGACTCGTATTTATTTCACTGGAATGTCATTTATTGTATGCAACTAAACTTACATATTTTAACTATAACAAGGAAAAATGCACTTTGATACAATGTTATAAACCTACACCAATATTGTAACCTAGGTTAGGTATTCATTATCTTAATGTAAAACGTCATGGATAAATCTATATAAAGTATAATTGTTACAATAATATACTTTTCACTTGTCATGCTCTTAAAGTTTGTATTTATGCTGGGTGTAATAAAAAACCATCACATTAAATATTTGTTGTAATTTTACATTCAATTTTAATTAAATAATCGTTTATTTGTAATATTGCTGTTTAATTTCCTCGCAATCGAAGTGAAAAGCAGAGTGTACGCATAACTCATTCACCTATATACTCGTCTCGGGTAAAATGACGCGTTTTATGCACTTGTTGTACAATCTACTATTAATAGAATGATAAAAACGAGTTTCGAAACATTTCTGACTAGAATAAAATTACGTAAATTTTAAATAAAATTGTCAAATAAAAATCGTTAAAACGAAAGTCTGAAGACGTCGAAGGAAAATTACACTTGCATTTGTGAATACTTGTGGTGGGCGAACACTAAAGGCGACTACCCGGCCCGTGCTCGCTCGTGGCGGCCCGTTAGGATTCGCCGTGTTTTCTTTCGACACATACCAGAAAATACGGTTCGCCACGCGCGTAAGCCCGATTCCGCCGCCCAGATTCGCCCGTGGCGCGAGCTCGCCTGACAGGCGAGCTTGCCCCTTCAAATTGGCGCATTTGAGCCCACGGACCATGGGAAGCCAGCATTAGTGCGCCCTCAAACTAGATGCTTCTAGAAGCGCTACAGTGGTGCGACAGTGCTTCTATAAGCGTCTAATTTGAAGGTGCTCTTAGACAATAACTTAGATATAAAATCAAATACCTTTTTCTCTTAGCCGGTTAATAGAGAACCTTCTAATAAATCGTAAGTCTTATAAAATTTTAAATATAATAATCGCAATGCTATGAATTTGAAATGTTTGATATTCTTAGGCCAAAGTCCTATACATTTTGTTAGCTTTGTTTAAATGACCTCACGGCAGAAGGCGATCATTTAGAAAATAAAATAACCTTTAAAATCTGTACAGAACAAATGGAAACAATGTATAAAGAAGAAGGCAGTAAGTAGATCTTATTCTATACTAAACTGAATCAATTAGATTCGTATACCGAATAAACAGATGACAACTGCCACAATTGCTGCTTTCTCTCTACGAAGAATGTCTTGGTTGATGCAAGATCGTCGAAACCAAAGTATAAAAAGACAAGTAGGGCAACTTCGGTGCGTAAATGCCTACACTTCGTTTGGAGCGTAGTAGGGTTGTTGCATCATTATTTTAGTTGGAATTACAGGTTGTAAACTTAATTTGAAAAAAAAAGTTGTTCATCATGTATTCTGTAAGTGCTACATTGAAATAACTGTTAAATGTAGTAGGTACTGACATATTGGTATTTTTTATACCAGCATCACGGATTGGCATCTTAGAGAGTATGATTATGAAATAGAAGTGAAATGCTGAACAAGCCGTTCCTTTCTACATAAGTTTTGATTATAGTGACCCTACCGACCCTTAGGGTATACGAGAAGGGCACTATAACCTGTGCAAGCACAGGGAGCTTCTCAGTCAGCTCCTGATCACAATCAGTCCATGTGCACAGAATTCATCCGGTTCTCAAAAGGCTTACTTTGGGTGAGCTGCCCCGGGTGCACGTACAGCACCCTCTCTGTTTTCCAGACAGGTATCGGAGCTGTAGGCATGCCCACTTCTTGTTGCGCATTGCGCATTAACGAAATGTAATGAAATGCTAAACAAATGAATTTGAGTCTTGAAGAATTTCAGTAACAGTCTACTATTTGATGTAATTTATTTAGACACGATCGACTGCTTCTATGCTTATTATTATCTATGGCGTGTGTGACAACCCGCGCTACGCAACGCGAGTGCACTGCGAGATTATACGAATGAATGACGTCTCACACTGCGCGCGGAGGATGTACACACATACAAGCCGCGCTGCTACGTTTGTTTGGAGTTACCATACTTCTCTTATAATACTACGTCGAAACTAATCATCAAATTGTGAGATACAATCAATTCTTTGCTTTTTTTAGGCTTACGAATATAATATCGACGAACTTTTTATTAGAACAAAGAAATACGATTTCATTTTCAACATAACTAGTATTTGACAGTAACTTCCATGCAGTTCTTTCGCATTTCCCCAAAGAACATCTTCCTTTTATTAATAACAGCGCAGATGCCTTTCTTCATCTCCGAAGCGAGCCAAGCCAGAGACGTGGTGAGAAGGACCGAAGCATTGGCAGGGAACGCATTCCCTCTGGACCGATACACTACACGATTAGTGGGTTGTAGCTCGCGGAAGTTGTCAGAGTCGCCGCCGATCTCCGTTTCGTGAATCAGTTTGATCTGAGAAGGAAGGTAATAACTTATAGATGATTTGGGTCAAACCCTACTCCCATATAAGTTATGTGTAAAATGTAATACATAACGATCTTGAAAAGTACACGTATTATAAACGTGATCGCATAAGTATTAAGATGCATACAGATCTCGCGAGCTGCACACGAGCATTACGCTGTGCGATCTGTTCGCGGGCCGCCCGTATTTAATTGCACGCATGCAGCACACGTGGGCGGCGCATTCGCCAGACGCATACGCATCCTTAAAAATTGGATTACTCTTTACACGGCCTGTATTTGTATTGTCATAGAGTCTATTGTTATAATAATTTTTAATACAGTTGCTCAAAACGTGGTATTTTTCGCACTACAAATCGTGCGGAAAGTTGGACTTCTCGCACTAGTGCTTTTTACTTTTCCAGTTTTTTTTAAATTTACTGTTGTTTTAAGTCTTAAACATAGAACTAAAGAGGTTGTATATTTATGTGCTTTGTGACGTAAGTCATTCGCCATTAAAACTTATATTTTCTTACAAACATCTTATTTGTTGCATAGGTGTTTTATAAAACAACGGGTTTCATTTAAAAATACCAAAATATTTTCCATAAAGATGGCTGATTGAGTATTAACAATGACCGGAGGTGAGTGTTACGCGAGACCGCTGCGCGCCGCGCCACTAAAATAGTAATTTTAAAGTGGCTGAATACTGGCAACAGTTGTCATTGTACTCTGAATTTTTATCAGACAAAGAAATAAAATGAGTTTTTTTTAAATATTGTTTTATTTTACTTTCAATCATTGACTTACAATTATATGGACGTCGGGTCCGCGCTAAAAAGTGTCCGCACTTGTAAGGCGCTAAAATCGTATACAGAGCGCGACACTCCGCTTTAGTCTTCATTTGTTCTACTGACAGCGCGATACTACGATGACATTACAATTTAAATTTCGAATAGGTTGACTTGGGACATTTTTTTCGTGGTTTTTGTATTAGACCCGTCGTCCATTTATTTGTAAGTCAATGCTTTCAATGTAATTTTTTCGCAAATGTATTAAAAAACGTCGTTTGATGCACGTGCGGATTTGTCATTCGTCAATAATGACTAACTTTCCGCACTTGTATCAAAAATAACTATTATGATACCAATTCAAGTCATATTATTTTATTAACATTGTTTATAATGTTTTTCATTTGATGAATTGGACGTAGTTAAACAAAAAGGATCACATCCAGTCACTTGCTGATCTAAGAGGTTAGGCTTTAGAAACCGTTTGGTACATATAACTCATTTTTTGACAATTTTGTGGGTTGGGTCCTTTTGGCTTAACTACTGTAGTCTAGGCTCTACTCTATGAGTAGAATTACTGGCTGAGTGAATATAGTTTCGTATTTAAGAATGTGTTTAAAAAAATAGGAGAGAGAAAAGAACACCTTGGCAGATCTAGAAGGAGCCTCCGTAAGTGAACATGTAAAAAAATACAAAACTATATTCACTCAGCCAGTAATTCTACTCATAGAGTAGAGCCTAGACTACACTACATCCGATTCAATAAAAAGATTATTGATAAATTTTTACTACTCGATGCATTGACTTATAAATAAAGTGAATGACTCGATTGGTCTACGTCGATGTTGCAAAAGTTAATTGACATTTTATAATCTCTTGCCAAAGCTCATATTTAAGCTATTTTATCTAGAAGTAAGTAACACGCAATTTAAATATAAATAATATATTAATATACATTTTACAAAAGAATTAAAGAGTTTACGCTAAAAGGACAAATAAACGGCATCAATTACTGAAGTAAGTTGTTAATTTATTTTAGTATTATTGTGACTCAGACATCATTCTTGTTATTATTAATTTTGTTACTTTATATTGTTTTAGAGCACGCTGCATACTGTAATAATTTTATTCTAATTTGGGTATTGTAGTTTTAAATGTTTAGGTTACGGAGCAAATGTCTGTTATTCTTTTTAGTTTTTGTCAAATAGGCATAGCCATCTTCCTCTTCTCAGGCTCCAGCTGAAAATCAGCGCTGTGCCTCTGCCCAGCATTAATTAGTAATATATAATTATTTGTTTTTTAATTGTTTATTTTTAATTTAAATTTAGATTAATATTATTATTATTATTTGTATATTTATTTGTAATAGCCAAATAAATGTTTCTTTCTTTCTTTCTTTCTAGTACCTACTTTACTGAAATGCATTTTTCGATAATTTTTATTTCTATAATTTATTTTCATCGAGTCCTAAGCTTTTTGCGATTGTTACATATTGGAAATACATTTCGGATCTATATTGCGTATATTTGTTTCTTCAAACAAACCAACGTTTCACCCTTTACAGGTCACAGCTGACTCAGCGGATGTAGTCAAATGTTAAAATTTCTACCGCTGCTGTTTTTGTAGATGTAGAACCCGCCTGGGTATATATATCGGGTTTTTCAATCTGCCGTCCGCCAGTCAAAACGTAGCTAAGTGACAAATGGTCAAATATCCGTTTTAAATAGCAAAAGATAGAGCACAGAATTCTCTTTAAAAAAAGTGTTCGACTTGTCGGAACTTACCCTAACGATGTACAGCTGAAATATCATTAAACGGATTCAATATTGTAAAACTGGGTTATGATTTTTTATGATGTCTCAAAATAATATTTTGTCAGCCACGTTCTACATAGCTGACGGCAGTAATAAGGACATAACAGTTTTGTATTTTAATAAAACACAGAATAATTGAGATATCGAACTGAAATTGATTCCAGATGCAGTACCATGTTACATTTAAGAATGGAATTCGATCTCGTTCATATGACCACTACTAGCACGTTTGCAGCGATCACACAGTTTGTCAAAAAAGCGACCTGGTGAAGAGGAAGAAGTATAACGATCGAACACTAAGAAAAAAAATTCTTCGAACCAGCGTCTTCCAGCAAACCGTGCTAGATGCTATGCCAACTAAGCCATGGAACGAACCAGCGGATTTTACGAATTTTTGTATGTGCTTGTTGCAAGTTTTTGTTTTTAGTTTTCAACGACTTTGTTCCGTTGCGCTATCTGTGAGAAATCTATTTCTTTACTCAGCCAGATGCCTTTACAGCTACCAGTGACTGACTAGAGATGACGCTTTGATAATTATAATTTTTAAGCTTTTATACATGCTGTCAATGTTTCATAACGATGTATTTCTTCACCGAAAAGCTCGAATTCACGGCCTCTGCTTGAGAGGCTATTACACCTTGCACCAGTACATTATTGTACACATAACGAGTTACCTGCGTGTCAGCAATAATGAGTGGGATGTCCATCACGATCCAGGTGACCACCTCGGCGCATGGCGGTGTGGTCAGCGACCCGTGGTATGTGTAGTACATTTGAGTTCTCGGGCTGAACAGTCGCCTATATCAAAAGGAAGACATCGTTTATTGATAGAAGATGATTAGATGACATTAAAGCGTGAAACACACAGAGAGTGAATGCGGTTCGGGCGCGGGTCAGGTGCGGGTCGGACGCGGGTCGGGTGCGGGTCGGGAGCGCGGCGGATCTAATTCCGTGTATTCATATGGACAGCAACATACTGAGCGCGGGCGCATTACCTGTATACAGACCCGCCGCGGGCCCGATCCGACCCGCGCCCCACCCGCGCCCGACCCGCGCCCGACCCGCACCCGCTGTCTGTGTGTTTCACGCTTAATTATTATGAGACATATATATACACATAGTGAAAGAATGTAAAATATCCAAAATCATGAAGAGATTTTTTAAAAGGGTCAGCGGTTGTTTTATTTTATTATTTTAGGTCTAATTTGAAAATAAAAGTTTAAGTTAAGAGCGGTAACCCCGGCATGGCAACAGATACTGGTTAGAGTTTTTTTTTGGGATACCTACTAAGTGACGGAACGAACAAGTGGTCGGCCTGATGGCAAGCGACACGCCTGTCCACACAGTTGCGTCCGGGCCAAGACCTCCACCAGTCATACGCCTTCACGGGCGTCTCTGGCGGACCCGGACTTGGATATGGTCTCGCCGGGGTTTGTGGTTAGCTGTAGGGACGGACACGTTCGTCTGTGTGTGGCCGGGGCGCTCGTTGATGAGTTGCACTTTAGGTCGGTAGCTATGTCCGGACATTGTCGCTGGACACTGCTACTTGGCGTAGCTAGTAGAGGATGAGCTGGACATCTTCTGGTCCCTCCGGCCGCGTAGGAATTTAAACCAACCGTTATTCGTGCGGAGCGTGACGGGAAGTGAGCGTGCCTACAGCTCCGGTACCTATCTGGAAAATATCAAGGGAGGGTGCTGTACGTGCACCCGGGGCGGCTCACCTAAGACACTAGCCTTACAGAGAACCAGATGAAGTCCATGCAAACGTACTGATCCGGGGTTAGGACCTGACTTGGATGGGCCCTGTGCGGGTTCGCTCGCACATGTCATAGTGCCCTTCTCATATACCCTAAGGGTCGGTAGGGAGGGTCGCTATAATCAAAACTAATGTAGAAATATATGTGGCTGTTGATACAGTTGTAGTGCCACTCAGAGCTTTAAAAGGCAAAGATCTGGCACCGTCACTACGCCCGTTACCCTGAGACGCAATCTCACCAGCACCCTTACCCTTCAAAACCGGAGAGGAGTACTCGAACTCTTCCACAAGGAGCTCTACTCCTTTGAAAAGTACTTAGGTTTTCATGATTGTAACACATAGAAAATGAAACTATCTCAGTCAGCCTGATCATGGGAACTGTAAAGGGCCCGAAATTTTGGTTGGTTTGAAAAAACAAACACACTTGATTTAGGTTCGAAAAAATAGTTTTATTTCCTAAAAAAAAAATTGTCTTTTTTTGCGTTAATCTGTTAAGCCAAACTTGTTTTCACAAAAAATACTTAATGGTTCCTAAAATAGTTTCTTTGTATGTGTTATGGTTTCGTATTTCCCCATCCTAAAAACCACACTGTATACAAATTTTCAAACTAAATACTTGAACGCGTGCTCTCATCTACCCTAAATGTCGTAATCGTCAAATTAATGCGCAAGATACAACAACTCAAGCGCATCTAACACGACCTGTCTTTGTATTCCTCCCATCGTAGATTACTGATTCGTTATCGCCATTGTCTCCCTTTGCCCTTAAACTATGTTCAGGATATGAGTCTACCGTTCTTTAATTATACGATTGTTTTCATGCCTCTTGTAAGTTTTTCGATCATCGATGGGAAGGTTGTAGGTTCCAAGTTTTTATTGAATGTCACGATATTTTACTACTATGACATCTATTCAATTATTTTTTGTGAAATTGCTCCACTATTTTTTTAATAACAAAGATCGAACACCCAGAAAAAAATCCTTTGATCTGGCCGGATTCGACCCGACGTCTCCTAGCAAACTGTGCCTGATACTATGCGAACTAAGCCACGGAACGAACCAGGGGCCCTCACGAATTTTTCTAATTGGTTTTTAACGACTTTTTATCCGTAGCGCCATCTATGAGAAATCTATAAAAGTATTTCGTCACCCAGTTAGATACCTTTACAGCTACCAGCCCTGGCTAGAGATGTAGCTATTAACTATAATTAATTATTTCATTGAATTGATATTCAATTATTTTGTGTGAAATTACTCTACTAGTTTCTTATAATGATTAATACAAAGATTCCTTCGATCCGGCCGGATTCGAACCGACGTCTCCTAGCAAACCGTACCAGACTAGATGTTACATAGAATTACTTACCTAATATCTATATTCTTGGGTGGAAGACGTCCGGTGCTGTTGCGGAGTTCAGGCACCTGTTCCATGATTTCTTCCAGTGGGTACTCGTACGCTGCTGCGATGAGCTTATCAGTGGATGAGTAGACCTAAGGAAAGACATTCTCCATGATAACAAGTGACGGGACGAACGAGTCGTGCGCCTGGTAATAAGCGACACGCAAGTTCATAGCAATTGCAGTGCCGTTCAGGGCTTTAAATCGCAACGATTTGTCACTGCGCCTGTCACCGTCAGACGTAAGTTGACACGTCTCATGTGGCTATAATTCAACACCCTTATCGTTCAAAATCGGAATGCCTTAGACGAATTTTTCTTCTTACTTTTCTTTTCTTATATAATGCTATGTAAATGTATACACACATAATTTAGGCAAACGCTTGCATTTCAATTATTGACTCACCTCACACAATGTAGTAACTACGGCCAAGCCATCAGGTCGCATCGAAGCCTCTTCCATAGTTAAACCAGCTTTGATGTGTACGAAATGGATTTCCAGAGCGTACCTGTGCCAAACCACAGCCATTTATCAAGTTATTAGCTTTCACCATTCGAAAGAGTGGTTATATAAGTTTGCCTGGGCCAGAAAATAAAAAAACTGGAGTTTGCTTTTAAAATGAATCTCACTGCAGAATAAAAACCAAGAATATTCGACCACTGTATCCTGCCAGTGTTAACATATGGTGCCAAAACCTGGGTGGCTGAAGGGCATTAGAACGGCTGGTGGGAATGGCTCCTGGTGTAAGGTGGTCCTAGAATGGCGACCTTGGGGAGAAAAACGTCTCAGGGGTAGATCGCAGATGCGTTGAAGGGACGATATAAAAAAATGTGACAGGGTTTAATTGGATACAGGCGGCAAAGAACACAGGAACCTTCTAAGTTGAGGTTCTGACCTCAGATCTTTCACTGTACAGGGTTGCCACAGACCGTTGTCACTGACTACATCCGGTTTTCAAGAGGCTAGTGCCTACTGCCTTTTGTCGTACCGGGACAGTTGCTTCAGCTCTACCAAGCACAAGTCCGGTCGATGGAGTACTGCTGCCACCTATGGGATGGTTCTGCTCAACACTAACTGGCCACCTTGGATTCAGTTGAAAATCGTGCGAAAGGGCTTATAGGTGACTTGGAATTAGTAGAGGTGAAGCTGTAAAATTTACTTGTTCATCGGTATTCTACAGGATATGTCACGGAGGGTGTGCAAGGGATTGCATTTTATTCCCTGAACGGTATAACTTGGGCCTTTCAAGGCGAGAGTTAATAGACATTTCTTAGGTGTGCATGCTCCATCATCATCACTTTCCGTCAAGTAAAGATGGAGGTCAAATACGCACTTATTTTTTAACAAAAAATAATTTTAAAAGTGAGTGCGCGCCCGCCGCGCGCCGCGCGTACGCATCATTCGCATAATAATGAAAGGCGTGTGCCCGGCTAACGCTATGCAAGGCGAGTGCATCGCGAAATTATGCGAAGCAGCATGGTTTGTATGAGTATACATACAAATCGCGTTGTTCCTCACTCACTGATGTAATATGCTCGAATCTGAACAGGCGAATGCTCCCGGCGACGATGCGCTCTACGTTGAGGATTGTTTTATATGTTAAACATGCACGCTCATCTGGTGTTCAGCGACGGTGTTGCCGAAGATGGTACTTCTTGGTTTTAGAAGTGGCTATTCACTGTAGCCTTGAATAGACTCAAATAGTAGTTTTCGAGAAACGCATTAGAAAGGAGGAAGCAAAGCGCTTCGTGTGAGTGGGTGGTAAATCAATGGTATAAGGACGTTTTGGACTTTAGAGTTGTGGTGTACCCGTCACAAGCGTCGTGTCAGCTGGACGCAGAGAATCAGGAAAGCGATTATGCCTAATGCGGAGCATTAACCTCTTACGCCAGCTGCTGATTATAAGGATGCGCAAAATCGTATATCACGGTCACGTGCTTTGACACGATAGATACTGACTTGGGTTTTCAAACCTGAAACCTCGGCCTCGCAAATTTTGAGAGATTCGACATTTTGCGACTTTTTTGGCATTTTCAAGAATCGTGACTGATATTTTCAATCTCGGGAGCATTGAAACGTTTGAGTGTATTAAAAATTAAACAGTATTAGAAACCCAACAGTCAATTTTTGTACTGTTTATGTGGACATGGCAACACTGTAGAGTTGAGCTTAGTATAATCTTTGGAGATTGTAGAAAAATAATAGTAAAAGAAATTCGAGTTACTAAAGAACTTAATGTCTAAATGCGTAACCTATTAATAAAGAAACCTACTTTTGAAATTGTCTTGAAAGTCTTATTTTTCTCGAGATTCGATTTTTGACCCGAGACGCGGAAATGCAGCGGAACTAAATGCCCGACTGCTTCCACTTATAATGCTGGAAAAGGTGAAAGTAACAAAAAAACGCGCTGGAAGACGTAACATGTTGTGTTACACAACATAAGAGGGTGGACGGGAATCGCGAGCGCAGAGCAACCGTTTCGTTAGGCCTAGGACAGGGACAAGTTTGTCATATCATTGACAAGAGAGAGAGAGTCGGGAAAAGTAGGAACGGTGAAGGTGGAACTAAACTGAAGTTTGTACGCACACTTTTCCAAAGTATCCGATGGAAACCTAACAAGCAAGCCATTTTTGATTACACAAGACAGTATCTTTACTTTTGGCTCCGCAGAAGCAGTAAATTCGCAGCAACTTACTTGCGTCCATCAACGGCGTGTTCCGAGATCCAGTGTAGATGGAACTGCAACAAGCTGTAGTTCCCCCGTAGTGGACCGCCAGATACCACTGGTGCCTGCCGCCTGTTCTCCACATTCCATTGCACTAAGCAGTAAAGAAATTGCAGTAAATCTTTAAAGTTTACAAATAAAGATACAGCTAATTGAAGTTAAATGTAAATTATTTTATTATGAATAAAAGGGATAATAACATAAAAGAATCATCAAATCGTTGCTTTTAAATCCCTGACGCAAAAAGAGGGAAGCTTTTGCTTTTGTATCCGTGTGTCCGTTTGCCTGTTTGTGTCATGGTAGTTCTGAAACGGATGGACTGCTCTCAAAACGGTTTTTTGTTTGAAGGATAAATTAATCGGGATTGGTGACGCTATATAAGTAGGAATAAATTTTGGTTTTGCTTTCGATAGCTCGTGCAGAGCTGCGGGATAGGTGAGATCGCAAGGAACAGGAAAGGGAGACCGTGCTAACACCAATCTTCAGATCGGATATACAAAAGCTCAACGTTCTCACTGTTGAACAATTAATTGCGGGCCGGCCAAAATAATGCCACCACGAAATGCGGATCACGGTTCAATGCCGGGCGGAGACGCGGTTAGTTAAGAGTGTATACTGCCTCAAATGGCTTTAGGTGATTCATCTTTTGTCATTGGCTTGATTCCGCACAACAGTGAAAGAGTTGAAACAACCACTTTGGAAAAAAATACATACAATGATTACTATACAGTGTGAAAACAACATTCTTAAAAACTTTCACAATAGAGAAGAAACCACAAGCTTACCTCGAAATTTTACAAGAAATCCGCTGTATTTGATTGGTACTTTACATATGAATGATTATCACTAGTATCAGGTTTCTTACCACGAGACTTCTTAGAGCAAACCGTGACCATGGAGCGTGCAACCGTTCCGAAATATCGGGAAAATAAAAAGAAGTCATACCGTGGTAAGAAACCTGATACTAGTGGTAATCATTTAGTGAATAACCACGAAAGTCTTAAAATCTATACTTTACATATGATTTTGTCACAGACGTGGATTTTGTTTTTATATCAACTGAACTAAATAGAATATGTATACTACATACGATATAAATTTTTCAAACGGCTGTAATTTCGTTTGTAAAAATGTAAATTCTGAAATAAAGCCAGTGTCTCTACCGCTCGATCCAAGCAAAATGAACCGTATTGGTACGGGAAAATTTTGAATTCGAGCTGAGGTAATAAAAATTGCAGAGAATGCGGACACTAGATTTTCTTGTTCCAGGGATGGTTCTTACCTGTATAAAGATCATCAGCTCGTTTCTCGGATAGTGTAGGGATGGGATCACGGTTATAAGCATAGATATAGGAAAAAAGGGGAGATATGTAATGACGCTATGTAAGATCTGGTACCGATGTCGCCACTTTTTAGCTTGTCTGCATTTCAAACTTTACGCTCTATTATCTACTACCATAACTTAAAGATTTTTACTGGGTGGGGTTTAAAACGTGAAAACGACAAAACACAATTTTAAAATTTAACAAAGTTACAATCACTTGAGTAAGAGTTATATTACAATATTTCAGTATTTTTTTCATCCTGGTTCAGCCATTCACCATCAGGTGGCGTTTTAGTAAAAATGCTACTAGTATATAATAGCTAACTATTACACGCTAGATGGCGCTGAAACACATTTATCGTTACACTAAGAACTCACGGAGCGGTTTTCACCCGCGTCTGCCGCGGGACCGCAGAAACCGTAGAGTGTAATAGTTAAGTATGTAAAATTAGTAGCACATTTTACGGCGCGTTTTACACCTGTAGTGGTGACGGTTGCCGCGGCGGGGTACTAGTTGAACCGCGGAGGACGCGATCACCTGCGCGCTTGGCGGCCGTCGTCGCCCGCGCACTTTGGCGGTCGGTTCACGCGTAATATGGTGTAGGCGCACGCGGGATGAGTTCTCTATTAATCGCGCGACTTGCGATTAACTCCCACTAAATTCTCGCGGTTTCGTGCCCGCATAAACTTGCAGGGTCGTGAGTATTGAAATAAAACCACTGTCTAGCAGCACCGGCGGGCGCGGATGGAAACCGCTCCTTGAATTGTTAGCCTTATTAACCTTAAACTGACGCGAATCAACGAGGGATGTGGTCCTACCTATTCGATAGTTAGAAACCATGTGACTGTTTTTAATATTAAATAAATATTCCATTTTTCATGCACTGGTACTGGTGTATTATTAAATTAATATATTATATACTATATAGACTTTAATTGCAAAAATCGTAGTAAGAAATTCAAACATTTCAGTAAAAACTTTATTGTCGATAAACATCAGTTATCGTAAATGAACATCACTATATTTGAGTGTAGAAATTTCTATGGAGACAAAAAGAAAACATTGAATAATAATAGAAATGCAAATAGTCGGTGGAATGTTATCTCACTGGTTTTAAAATGTTTGTTTTTACTCTAATTTTTACAAAGTGTATCAAGTGTAAAAAAAACAACGTGGCATTTTCACGTTTTACGAGATATCTTGTATGTACATACAACGATTGCCATGTCACTGTGACGATGTTTGTAGGCGTGTCACCTTGATATGATCATTTTGATCATATCGAGGCGACACCAACCACGCCCCCGTACCAAATCTCCCCTTTTTTTCTTATTTCCTATATCTATGGTTATAACAATATTTATTTTAATTTCATTTGTCCGATCGACTTCAAATGAGCTATGGAAAAATGCCCCGCAGCATGAGTACGCATGATAGTCGCGACGCGCGCGATAAAATTTAAATAAGGGCTCGTTATTGGCTGTCTCAATCAGATCTAACTTAGATATTTCCATTTTAATTTAATATATAATCAAATCCGCCTGTCAATATTAAAAAGTATACGACTAAAAATCAACTTTGATACTAATAGACCAACTGTCAAAATAGGAATAAAGAATACAATAACGCAATTAGTAATCATTAGAATGCGTCGTAACATTTACAATTCACACATTTTTGGCAAAATTTTAACTACTTTCACAATCTATCGATAAAACTGTCGACAATTACTGCATATATATTTATAAATTTTTCGAAAAATGGCAACCCTGCAAATGTCATTTACTCCATCTTCAAAAAAGACAGACTATAGACTGTTATTCACTGTTATGATCCTATGTAAGTACGCTAAGTTCTAAAAACGCAGTACACTTAGAGACAGGGAATAATTATAGTTGAGAAACTTACAAGTATGTCCGTTATTCTCGGCGAGGACTGTCACATTCTCGTAGCCCATAAAAACCAGAGGACCTTTGATGAAGTTGCCGCGATCGTCGCGAATTGCCTTTGCGGACTCGAGGTTAATCGGCGACTGTTCTTTGCCCGTGGTGCATTCACCTTCCCAGGAGTCTTGGTCTAGAAAATGATGGATGTAAATATTTCTATCACGTGCGGCGTTGACAATTATGTTCTTTTTGGGGGACGGTTCCCATTTATGCATGAGGCTACAGTTTAATTTTGCTTATTTCGTTTCTTGTTATTCGATTTAGTACTTGAATGACAAAAATTCATAGGTTAAGTTATTTCATGTTGCTTTTGCCTGATATTTTAAAATAAGTATTGTTAATTAGAATTGCGTATTATTTTCAAAGAAACCAACGTTTCGGGTCCTTTACAGGTTCAATTTAATTCCATGCTCTAAAGGTGGATTAAGTTGTTAAATATCTAATGCAGAAAGTAGGTCAAATTTTCAGGATATTATTAACCTCAAAATTACGTAAGACCCAAAAATTATTTTTGCAGTTTTGTCTCAAAATGCTGTTTTTGATATAACAGTCAATACGTTTGACGGTGACGGAACGCATTACGATGAAACCTGCACGATAAAGAAGGGTCACAATTCTTAGAAAACGTGTGAAATCTCCATCTCTCATTGGAAATATGGCCTAACGTCGCCTTCATATTAGACGCTTATAGACGCTCTTCGGGCAAGAGCCATGCCGAGCAGTGGAACACATAATGAATGACAATGAGATTAGTTACAATATAGCGTACCTTCATAATTCCAAGAACTCTCAGCGTTCACATTTTTCAGAGCTGAAACAATAACTGGGTCAAATTCAAAATTGTTTTAATTGTCGTCGGTTAACAAACTACTTTTCACCTCACTAGCTCGGAAAGGCTGTCTTTCTCATTAGAAATCTGCGTGCAAAAGCGTTTTTTGCACGCCAGCGTGAAAAAAGTTTTTTAAATTCGAACTTGATGATGAACTGTGGGGCACCTAACTTTTTCTTTCGATTAAAAAAAAATAGATTTAGAGAAAGACTTTATTTATGTAACATAAATGCGTTGGTATATCTTATTTTTATTATTGTTGACATTAAATTGACAATAATAACTAATTGTGTTTATTAAATTATTTTAATTCGTCGAAGAACTAAAATAATTTCAATAATCACTTAAACACACAAAATAAAAGTACAAGCAAGAATAAAAATTGATGAGGTGTAAATTCAGAACGCATCCGAAGATAAACTTTTTTCTTTTAATTAAAAAAACTGATGCTTTAAAGTTCAATTGTTGAGGATTCGCTCTGGACCTTTTGGAGGGAAAAGTCGTTTTTATTTTGACTTTCAATTATTTTGTGAAATCTAGTTTAAAGTGGAATAGGATAGTGCTATTGTGCCTTAATCGAAGATTAAAAAGCGAAATTATATGAATTTCGAACTAAAATATCCGTATCGGCCCGTTTTAAGGAATCCCGAGTCAATCCAAACACGCCGCGCCGCCTCAAATTGCCTATCCTCTTTGTGGCGGCCATATTTACAGACACAAACTTCATGTTTAGGCTGATGGCTTTGCCAAAGCCTTAATAAATTTAAAAAAATCAACTGTTGTTCTTTCATTCTTCTACCATTTTCCTCGCTATGTTGTGTGTTTCGCGCGGTAGTAAAGTTGTTTAGCGTCTCGAGTCTTAAAATCTTTGCTACGTTCAGGAATCTATTTTTGAACCATTCGTTTCGCCCGCAGTTCAATCTTAGCTTCTTTCACTTGCTCAGGTTCCAATACAAGCATTCAAACAACAACTTTGCAGCCTTGCATAACAAATAATTATTATCGGATTTAAATCGCGTACCTAAATTTGTTTTTTTTTCAAACACACCAACGTTTTGGGTCCTTTACAGGGCCCATGCTCATGTCAGACTGAGATGGTAAAGTCATCAAATGTCTAATATTAATGCAAACTGCCCCATTTGTCAATATAGTTACAAAAGTTATTAATTAAATACCTTATTTTTAATTTTCCAAAGCATATTCCAATTTACGCCACACACGTTTTATAAAACATGTTATTTAATTTTTTTTTATATAACAGTTGGGACATAACACAGGAAAAACATATTTCGTATATTTTCGGTATTCATATAATTTTTCACAAAAATACTAATATCAAAAAAAGATACGTTGTTTTTTGCTATTTTTAATAACGCATAGCCTCGCACTAGGGAAACCTTGTACCGCGTGTGCCACACTAACTACCACAAATTACACCCAAACTCTCGAGAGAAATAAATATAGGCTGTACAAGTATTTCTCCCAGCCCAGTAATCGAACCCGGAACCTCTGCCTGGCAGACCAACATGACAACCGTTCCATGGAGGTAGCTAAATAAAATTTATATGAGTAAAATGAATAGAGTTGGTAAGAGCGGTGGACCCTCCCCTGTGTGGCAACAGACGTTCGTAGAGTCCAGTCACATAGGAGGAATTTTTCTCTGTTTCAATAATAATAAGAAAACTAAAATTAACAATAGGTGTGCGAAACCGGAATCATTTTGCCACCTTTAGAGGTGGAATTATCTTCAAATTTAAAAGGGGACCAATACTCCAAGGAAAAAAAATCTTCAAAATCGGTGGTTCACCAATCGTAAACGCGTAACATACACAGAAAAAAAATACAGTCGAATTGAGAAATTCCTCCTTTTTAAAGTCGGTTAATAAAATTTATGTTAAAATGAAGATAGTTAAAAACATATCGACCGGTACAATAATAATTTACAATAATTTTTTTTTTATTAAAAAACAAACAAAAAGTTCTTGGAATTACATTGTGTTTGCCAAGTGTTATTTTAATCGGTTAACGGAAAGTAGGTGACATATTTTCATAAAAACAATGAGTTGTAATGAGAACCTTCAAATTTTTTTAAGTTGGTTAAAAACTAGAAGTGACAAGAACATAAGACATGTAAGTAATAGCAATCTATTACAGCTATCAGTTTTACGGGTACCGTTTTCGTGTCACACAGTGTAATAAAACGTTCTTACCTCCATTATCTCTACATTTATGTTTTTATGTTTAGTGTTCATGCCTAGTTAAACTTTAAATTTGATTATTGGAAATTGGAATGTACTGAATTGGAACATTTTAAGCAACACGGCGACCATTATGATAATAGGCGTATATTTTAACACGTTTATATTGGTTGTCCGAAATGATAGATTTTCATGCTTAGAATAATAACGCATAGAATGACAGTTTCATAAAAAACGAACTGTCACAAGTGAGGCAAAAATCAAATTCATGTAGGCGTAAGCAACTTGTATTTACGCTCGTCGGCACGCACACAAATATACAAATAATGATGCCATGGAATAACATTTCCCTCAAAAGTGGGGAAATTGTATCTTGCTTAACTCATCGTTAAGTTAGAGGTGCCTACAGATTTGCTCGATTTTGTCGCTCGTTACTGTCGATCAAGTGCCTACAGCTATGCTCGATCTTGTCGATCGTTACAGTTGATTCGAGGTGCTCATCACGAATATGGCATTTATTTCTAAATCCAAGATGGCGGACACGACTTTTGAAATAAATGCAATATGGGTATCATTTTCGAGGTATTTGGGGGTGCTCATTACGAATATGGCACTCATTTCTAAATCCAAGATGGCGGGCACGACTTTTCATATAATGGCAATTTTTGATGATTCTTTTTGTATTGGAAAGAGGGTAGGTAGGTAGGTACCCTCTTACTGACTGAGGTCAGTGTTGGTCCCATTTAAATTTGACGTAAATATTTCACCTGTGAGGGTGGCAAACTAGGGGGTGAATCCGGTTTCGCGCCCTTTCCAGTAACCAATTTCAATAAAACTTGGTAAATAAACGTAATTCCACGAACTTTGAGATCGGTTTCTTTTACATTAGTTTTTTGTGGAACATATTACAGCATAATCTTTCTTGAGGATTATATCTGTCAAGTAAATTATTCACTATTGATATTACGTTTAAAAACTTTAAGAAAAGTGGTATATTGACCACTGCATCACGGTTTATTTATAATTGTATGTGTGTCGGAATAATGAATTGTATTATAATATAAATGACTAGACATAAATGGAAGTTCGTGTTACCGAAGTTAAGACATCAGAGAGTTCTCGGTTCTTTTGATGGGCAACTTATTCTGTATTATAACAAGATTCAAAAAGTTGTTTTGGACTTTGACAAGTTCAAAAATCATGTAAAGGCAGCTTCAGTAAAACGAGGATACTACTCTGATAGGGATTACATAAACGATAAGACAGTTTGGTTTTAAAAATTGTGTAAATGTCACGATTTTAAGTGTAATTTGCTTACCTACGATATAAAGATATTAATTTGACTTGAAACAAAAAAGTTACTTCATTTTTAAAGACAGACTTCCCTTAAAATGTTAGCTATTGGTTTTTTTTTTCAACAAGTAGTGCGCCTGATGGTAAGGTACACGCCTGTCCATAACAGTTACAGTGCCACTCAGAGCTTTAAATTGCAAAGATCTGAGGAGCACTACTACTGCGCCCGTCACCCTGAGATATAAGTTAACAAGTCCCATGTGCCTGTGATTTCACCAGCACCTTTAACCTTCAAAATCGGAACACGGTAATGCTTAGGTAAGGTGGCAGGACTACCCTGGACGAACTCTTTCACAAGGACCTCTACTGCTGCTTTAATCCATCAATCTGCTTTTTTGTCTGGTGTGCATGAAAGGAACCTCCTCACAAGACTTATTATTACTTTCCTATACTCTTCTGGCGCATCAAGAACAACTCCTTTGTGTTGTAAAAACAAGTATAGCAGTTAAGTAGCTGTAGAGCTTCTTGCCTATTTCTGCCGCCAAACAGCTATGTGAGCATTACTGCGTTCCGGTTTGGTGCTGGTGAAATTACAGACACATAGGACTTGTCAACTTATGTCTCGAGGTTACGTGCGCAGTGGCAGTGCCCTTCAGATTTTTGCAATTTAAAGCTCTGAGTAGCCCTGCAACTGTTATGGACAGGCGTGTAGCTTATCATCAGGCATTCACGACTCGTTCGTCCCGTCCCTTGATAATATAAAAAAGAAACTTATAATCCCCTTGCGTAAATATAATTATTAAAGTAATTTAACATCTGAAAGAGGTACAACGTACTTATTAAAATGTTAACTACAAACATTATTGTGTTTACTATATATTTTTATCTACATGAAAATTGTATTCACTAGTGATGCAATGAATAGTATATTCGGTCTCTAGCCGAATATTGGATGAATATCCTTATACAATATAATAATAATAATACATAATACAATACGCTAAGAGCGTGGCCGAATAACCGAATAATCTGTCTGAATAATGCACGGCATGAAAAATATAGCTTATTGATTTCTGTTTTGATAACAAAAAAGGTACTTTAATTTTGAAGTTTATTATTTAAATTTATGACATCTTAACATTGACTTACAACTAAATGGACGACGGGTCTAATACAAAAACCACGAAAAAAATGTCTCAAATCAAACTATTTAGACGTAGTGACATGTAAAGGAATATGAAAAAGCTGAAACGTTGAATTTAAATTGTAATGTCATCGCAGTACTGTCTAATTTTGCTTGCTTCGCCGTCAGTCGAACAAACGAAGACTAAAGCTTGAATGACGCTCTGTATACGATTTTAACGCCCTATAAGTTCGGACACTTTTTAGCGCGGACCCTAGTCCATATAATTGTAAGTCAATGCATCTTAATGAAGAAACTAATTATTTATTTCACGTCACTTTCATTAACTTTCATAAATCTTGATTTTAATTTGGCTTTAATTATTTTATACCGTGATGTTGACTACCATGATATTCATTTATGTTTTGTGAAATTATTCCACTCGTTTGCTATAATTATTAACACAAAGAACGAACACAAAGAAGAATCCTTTTGATGTACCAGAACTTGAACCTGCGTCTGTAACACCAATCTAGAGCAACCGCTCTACCAACTGAGCTACAGATCAGCAGAACTTACGGATTTCTGTAAGCGTTCAACAGATCTTTGTTTTTAGCTTTGTGTTTTGTACTTACTTTAAAAAAAGTACAAAATAAGCAAAAATTAGTACAAAAAAAGGTTAATTTTCTTGGAGTTTAAGTACACTACCTTTTAAGATCTCTCAGGTAAATACCAATTTAATAATAATAAATAATGTTATATTTCCTTTGGTCCTTTAAATGACGAACTTACAATATGTATTCAGCATTAATAAAATTTACATGATAATTTAGGTTCTTTTTTATGAAATTAGTCAAAACTTGTTATCTTGTTAGTATGCCTGGAGATAATAACACGAAGAAGTATTATTGGGAATGTTATTACAACGGGCAAAAATAATTTCCTATGTTACTATTGTGTAAGTCGTTAGAAACACGGGAAAGTATTATAAACGATAATACTGTTTTTTTTTCTTATTTCTTGCTCTTGTTTTAGGTATTCAGTATTCGGCCGAATAGCAAAACATGGGCCGAATGCCGAATAGTAACCGAACATCCTTTGCAACTTTGATATTCACTCAGAGACGACATGTCACCGTGTCATCATGTAAGCAATGAAGGGCCTTTTCATGAATGACTTTTGCTTTCTTTATTCTTAATGTTTGTTGAATTAGTCAATAATAATATCTTTCTGGTAATTTTTATCTAATATGTACATTTATTTTGAAAGATAATATTCATTTATTTAACTCGAGATGCTGTAACATTGAGTTTCCATTTACATTATAGTTTACGTTCATAAAAATACCAAGATATGAAATGATTTATTGTTTTATCTAACACAGTTACAGAATGAAATTAAGTAAGCAAGGTTGAAACTCAAAATCGTACCTTTGGTATAATAATGCCACATGTGATCATACGTCATAA